AAAAATTGATGAAGACATGCAAAGTGGGCACATACAATAAATAAAACGAGAGTAAGGATCATTTGGCAGTGTTGCGCGACACGCAGATCTCCACTGACAACAGCCGCTAATAAATAAAAAGGAGTCAAGGACCCCTGGCCAGTGGAGTACAGAGGGCATCGATGAGGCTCAGGTCCAGCACAACTCTAAAGTACGATCATAGTGACAGATTCAAGTAAACCCGATCTTGAGGGCGTGTTGCCGGCGAAGAGCACAACCGCAGCCTTCTCTGACCTGGGCTTGGAGCTGCCACTCGACTGCTCGCTGCAGGCAGAACACGCAAACTTCGCACGCACGTTATTCCGGCTCTCGTACACCCCGACGTGTATACCAAACTATCACAACCACCCTCTTGCTCGATATTTGCCACGAGACGCGACCTTCCAAACAAACATGTCTTCCGCATCATCGCGGCCCCGGGGTAACCGGCGTGTGGATAGCATCCAGAATGAGAAGCGCATATCCCGCGCCCCTTCACGAATACGGGCCAAAGCAGTCAGTTACAATGATGCATACACATTTGCCCTCAGGGTCGCATATCTACACCATCTTCTTCAGCCCAGGGCCAAAAGGAAGCAGTTTGTTCCAGCACCAAAGCCCTTGAAAGTCCGGAAGACTCTCATGATTGGAGATCTGGTACAGGAGTTTTCTCTCATAAAGGACACCAAGAGCGCCAAGTTTCCCCATGGCTTCATGTCACCACTGGAGAAGCGGATACAAGGCGTCTTGATGGGAACAGAGAAACTTCCTGGATACAACGATGCGGCTGTTAAGCGGACTTTTGCTGAAGCATATACGGCCTTTACAGAGGCAGGGTTTCGACGGCGGATGGACAAGGAACGCAGGGTGGAAGACCTGGTTCTGATCTTTTATTCGAACGCAACGAAGGCTTTACAAAAGGGCAAGGCTCCGGACGAAGATTCTTGGAAGTTGCTAGTTGACCAGCATGTTGCCCTGTTCGTAAGGCTCATCAGCAATACTCTCAAATCCCATGGCAACGACAGGGACAGACCCGAACTTATGAGTCGATTGGCGACATTGGAAAGCAAATTGCTCACAAACGACCAAGACTTGTCTAACGACACTGCCGATGGACCTGGCGGATCAAGCATCGAAGTTGTGGTGCCGCTGAGCACCGACGTGAAAGATATGCCAATGGTTCAGACTGTGGCCAGGATATTCGGCTTGGCTCTTTCTCAGGTCCAGTCTGATATTGATTTAAATAACAAGATGTGGACAGAAGAAAATGCTCTGAGCGACCTCAAGGCATACCAACACTGCCTTAACGCCAGTACTAGGAAGACTTTGCGGAGTGATGATTTTGATCTGGAGGAAGGTTATCAGGCATGGAAAGCAGCGGAAGGCCCTGAGCTGTCCCAGATGATGGCTCAGATACTTCAGGCCAAGCCAGAGCTCGTAAAATCAACTTCAAGCTCCAATAGACCTCTTCCACCTGTCAGAACTTCATCGTATATAAATGACGACCAGACCTATTCCGACATCGCCAAGACAATTTCAAATCCAGGCGAACTAAGCTCCTCGTCATATGCATTCGATCAGCCTTTCGATATGAGTGCTCTATCGCTCGACGATGAGAAAACTGGCCGACTACACCTCGAAGAATCCACCTACACGTTCATTCCACCAGATCCGCGCTCATTCTACCGAGCCATTCTGTGCCATGCCATGACCTTTGATCAGCTACATGCTCCCTCCGACGCCTCGGCCACTAGCCCGCCTCTTTCTCGAGCTTCTACCGAGTTATTGAACGAGCTTTGCATGCGATGGCGAATCCCCCAATTCTCACGCCTTGTACTATTCCTAGATGTAGCTGCTCAAAAGTTTCTGGACCAGGAGATTGGACTTGACGAGCTTGACTCTTCTTTCGAATTTGTGAAGAACCCACCCGTCGAAAATAAGCGGGCCAGTATATACTCGCATCCCGCCACCCCAAGTCTGGCTTCTATCGATCAAAGTTACTGGACAGTCCAGGACTTTGCCTTGTATCGCCAGGTCCTATCAAGTCTAAACGATGGTCTCCTCCGCGATCTCTACGATTTGCTTCAGCATTGCTACGATACGAAGCCACCGTCCCCTGGTCCTGTCCTGACAGTTCTAGATAATCACATTCATGGTGACCCTTCTTTTGATTTGGGCTCTGGCGAACTCGATGCCTACAAGGTTCAGCTGGCAGATGGGCTGCGATCTAAGGCTGCGTCTGTCTATCGAGGTTACCTAGAGACCGAGATACCCCAAAATCAAGAAGAGTGGCAGTTCTACCATGTTGTCCAACTCGGAAAGTCCGTCGTAAAGCTTTGCGAGCGGATTCAAAAACGATACAGGAAGAATCCGGACATCATGGGTGTCAACCCATTGATGATTCTCGTAGAAACCATGTTCCCAAGTTTCGAAAACGACGCTGGAGATCTAATCCAGCGGATTCTTCGCGTTGCTCAAGAGAACAACACCGAGGTAGATTTACAAGACGGATTTGACCTCTACCGGGAATTGGTCGAAATCCGTCGAATCCACCATGGAGCACTTCCCGAAGTTCCATTCGCCTTCCATATTGAAGAGCTGTTAGCAGACTTTGTATGGCGCTGGATTAAGGTGTCCGAGTCGAAAATGGTGGAACTGGTAGATGAGGCTATCAAGCAAGACCAATTTCAAGTTCGATCAGACAGCCATGATAGACCTGCCACAGACGACGAGCGACACAGTGTATCCGTGATTGATATATTCCGTCTATTTAACCAGACAGCAGATCAGATATTTCAGCTCGAGTGGGATCATGACGTACAATATGCAAAGTTCATGACAGCCTTATCGAAGGCGTTCGGTATAGGACTAGCGAGATATTGCGAGGTTGTGGAGGGAAGATTCGTCAAGGAAATGGACAGACTCTCCCCTGCGCAAGAAGCTGCTGCCGCGCAGACCAAGCAGGAGAAATGGATGCAACTTGCCAAGGATGCCTGGAACAACAAGGAAAAGATCGAGCCATTCCAGTTCTACCCCGAGGTATGTTGATGCCCATATCTGATTTATCCTGCTGACAACCTATCCTAGTCTTTCGTGAAACTGAACAATATTGAGTACGCTGTACAGCAGCTTGACGTTCTGGAGAAGACCATGAATGTTGATGCCTGCGCGGACGTTCTGGCAAAGAACGCCCCGCCCAAAGAGAAGCAGCGAAGGACTTCGAAATACGTTTTTACAATCAAGATTGTGGAAGCCGAAGAGCTCAAAGCTTGTGACCCAAACGGAACTAGTGATCCATACGTCGTTCTGGGCGACGAGTACCAGAAACGTCTTGCAAAGACAAGAGTGGTAATGAGAAGCCTCAACCCTCGTTGGGAAGAGTCAGTAGACATTACAGTCCAGGGAGCTCTCAATGTTATCGCAACAATCTGGGATTGGGACACCTTTGGTGATCACGATTTCGTAGGAAGAACATCGCTGAAGCTGGACCCGGTCCATTTCAGCGATTATCTGCCTCGAGAATACTGGCTGAACTTGGACACCCAAGGCAGGCTTTTACTTCGTGTCAGCATGGAAGGAGAGAGAGATGATATCCAATTTTATTTTGGCAAGGCCTTCCGCTTGCTCAAAAGGACAGAGAGGGACATGACTCGGCACATTACCGATAAGGTAAGCGATAATGCAAGTTTCTTCCTCACCAGGCTAATTGTCTGTTAGCTCTCACAGTACATAAAGAACTCCCTATCGACGGAGGCTTTGAGGCATGTCATCTCTCCTGGTGGAATCTCCGCATCCGTCACAAGTCTATGGAAGAGCCGACAGTCCATCGTGACAACCATCTCGCCTCTAGATGTCGAGAACGCTCTGAAGCCTCTCTTCACATATTTCGACGAGAATTTTGCGATCATGAAGCAAACTCTGACTGATTCATCCATGGTCATGGTCATGACTAGACTCTGGAAAGAAGTCCTCCTTGCCCTAGAAGGTCTCCTTGTCCCGCCCTTATCAGACAAACCGTCCAGCCAACGCCCACTCACACAGCAAGAGATGGACATTGTGTTCAAATGGCTCGAGCTACTCTTCGAATTCTTCCACGCCCGCGACGAAGAAACCGGCGAAGTAATGGGTGTCCCAGCGGACGTCCTCAAGTCGCCCAAGTACCATGAACTCGCTTCCCTCAACTTCTTCTACTTCGACACTACGGAAAATCTCATCCGTACATCGGAGCGCATGACTACGGCCTCCATCCAACGCGCCAACGTTCAGCGAAACCGCCTTTCGGCGCCGCCTACCCTCGGGGCCAGCTTTGGAGGCTTGATGGGCGCGACTTCGATGAAGAGGTCCAAGAGCATTATGCTGAGCCGGAATCTGGGCACGATGAAGAAGGCCAAGGAGGAGAAGAGGAAGGAGGCGCAGGCTGATCCGAGTGATGATATGATTTTGAGGATTCTCCGGATGAGGCCCGAGGCTACGAATTATCTGAGGGATCGATCCAGGCAGAAGGAGAGGCTGGCCGCGGCAGCTGCGGCGGAGATGATCGTGAGGCAGAGCCTTGCGGCTGGGGGACCGAGATTTGGGGCGAACCATCTGCCGCGGAGGTGAGTTGCGGTGCGCGACGTGCATATCTGGTTTGCAGGCGTTGGGCAGGGGTGGGGGGGGGGGGGGGGGGTTAGGGGGAGGGAGGTGGGATGGAGTGGGGAAGTATATGAGGATGATCGTTGCTGGATTATGACCTGTAACTTGTGGGATGGCGTTAGAGAGATACCACAGCGTTATTAATGCTTTGATTTGATTCAGCCATGAAGGGGGGGGTTGGGGGGTTTTTCTTCTTCCTTTTCCCCTTTTTTTCTAATCTCTTTTTTTCTCTGTACAGTAGAGGCAGCGCCATCTACGATAGAGCTTCTCCTTCTTCCTCTTCTGCTAGGAATTAATAAACACGTGGACGATGAATGAAACAAGAAATCAGTTTGTCTAGGAAGTCGAACGACAAAGAGGACCATATTGTATGGAGTACAGGGAAGGAGATGGGAGAGGCTGGTTGGATGGATGAGCCCCTCCTTGCATCGGTGAGTGACATCATGGTGTGTCACCCACCTTTGTTTCATCCCGAGTCACAGCCACACCTGCCAGGGAAGGGAAAGGCAGGTCAAGTCGCACATCTTTACTTATCAGTGGGGGGAGTACGGTGGTAGTAGGTAGGCATTGTAGAAAGAAGAAGGAGGGGAAGAAGCCGAAGAAGAAGAAGCAGCAGAAGAAGAAGAGAATTCAGCTTTGGACGGATCTCAGCATAGTGGGTACGTACGTACATACGTACGGTACGGGTAGTACTACCGGTAGTAGTTGTACAAGTCGGTCAGTACCTGATCTAATTAATGCATGAAAGGAGTTAATCTAGGGTTGGGTAGGATAGGTAAGGATAGGTACTACCTAGACCGCGGGACGAGGGGAGTTGGACGGGAATACGAGCGAGAGTGGCAGAACCGGTACGGATGGTGGTTCGCATGTCGATGTAGGTCGTAGGTCGCAGGTCGTAGGTCGTAGGTCGTAGGTCGTAGGTCGTAGGTCATACATAGGTCGTAGGTCATACATAGGTCATAGGTACCGGTAGTACGTAGTACTACGTATATTGTTGTTTGACGTCGGATTGATGATGCTCCTCCGGTCCTCCGCATTAATACCAATTCGTTCATGCAGCCCAGCCCAACGTGGCGAAAAAGACCGTTCTTGCTGCATCAGCCATGCCCCTCCTCCGTCATTCTCCCATTTCCGCTTGGCCTATGGAGGTCGTGACTGGATCGGGCCTGAGATCCGCCCTCGACGCCGAGGTCAGGGTAGGAGTAGGGGTTAGGGGGTTAGGGGGCAAGGGGGTAAGGGGGTAAGGCCCACGGGTAGGGCGTCGGCTTCTTCGTACAACGAACGGGCTCCTGTTGATGTTACGTATCGTCGTTGTGGTTGACTTGTTGGCAAGCAGGCAAGCAGGCAAGCCTTCGACTCCCATTCAAGGCGCAGCCCTTGCACGTATCTGTGCTCTCTCAGTGCTTCTGTGCTCTCCCTGTGCTCTGCCCTCAGCCCGCGGCTGTAGTGAGCCGTCTCTGCGTCAAGAATGCAAATTCGCTGCCCACCCTCATTATCGTCCTACCGGTATTCCAATTCCTATTCATATTCCGATTCCGATTCCGATTCCTATTCCTATTCCTATTCTTATTCTTGTTCCATGCATGCATGACCTTCCTCTCCTGAACTTCCTCACTCCCTTGCGAAGAGATGGTAAGTCAGAATTCAGCATCCAGCATCCCGAATCTCGACGTCGCATTGCACCACATCACATCACCGGTACATGGCCATCATCGCACAGTTCCATAGACAACCACCGACCACCGACCACCGACCACCGACCACCGACCTCCGACCACCGACCCCAACCCCAACCCTCGTCCCTCGTCCCTCGTCCCTGCCATTTCGGAAATCGGCCTTCTCTAGTTCGGACGTCGGGTTAATTGCGAGCATCCCCGTATCGTAATCGATATCTCCTCCTTCGAGAAACTCAACTCTCAATATTGCCGGCCTCGTCAAACCCCCCAGAGAAAAGAAAGAAGAAAAGAAAAGAAAAGACCTCGGGTTCGAGTGATCACCACCCGACCCCTTTCGTCCTTTATTTGGTGACTCCGGTGTGCTTTACCACCCTCGAATCAGTGAACAGTTACTGCTCGACCACACCTTCTTTTACCGACTCTGAAGACAGGACCCCTGCACGAAATATTTCTCAGCCTTCACTCCCCCAACTGACCCCGTTCCCATACGTCCATCATTGATGTCTGGGAGTAAGCACCGATAGGAATCTTCCACGCCAGCTGAGCGCTGCACCCTGCATCGCCATGGCAGACGAAGCAACACTCGCGGCGACCTGCTCGCTCCTGCAGAGCCTTGCGACAGATGTCAGCGTTCCCTATACACCCATCCACAACGGCTTGGGGCTCAAGCTCCCCGGGCTCGAGACCACATCCAAAGTGGCCCTCGAATACGAAATCGCGGCGTTGGCTGCGAGGATCAAACTTTTAGAGACAAAGGCTTCGGGCAACCACCATACACTGCCAGACACCCCCAATGAGAGTGGTTCCCCGTCCGCCTTCGCAGATGTCTTGACAGGCAGCGGGTCCCGAGCGAGTACGAAGAGTTCAGCCATGAGGCAGAGCAACAGCATGAGTTCGTCACTGACGGGCAGACACAACTCTACCGGCGAGCGTCCGCAGAAGCTCCCCAAGCTCAGCAACGACGAGCTCATCGAGACCTTGCAGCAGGAGATAGTGGACCAGGCCGAGCAGATAAAGGAGGGGAAGCTGAAGCAATCTGCTATCGAGGCGAGGATGGAGGAGCAAGCCCAGCATCAACAACATCTCATCAACCAGTTTGAAGCCAAACGCGTTGCGTCGCTCGAGCGTGAACTCAAGAAGCACCAGCAAGCGAACGAGGCGTTCCAGAAGGCGCTGCGGGAGATTGGAGAGATCATTACGGCTGTCGCCCGGGGAGATCTGAGCAAGAGGGTTCAGATCCATTCAGTCGAGATGGATCCTGAGATTACAACGTTCAAAAGGGCAAGTTTTCACTGCTGGCTCGGTCTCGCGGTGCGTGCTCTGCTGACGGGTATAGGTCATCAACACCATGATGGACCAACTACAAATCTTCTCCAGCGAAGTTTCCCGAGTCGCCAGAGAAGTCGGGACCGAGGGTATCCTCGGTGGTCAAGCGCAAATCTCAGGCGTCGATGGCACCTGGAAAGAACTTACAGACAATGGTAGGACTTTCTCGGGATCCATACATCTGATGATCAGTTTGCTAACTTGTCCCAGTCAATGTCATGGCCCAAAATCTGACGGACCAAGTGCGCGAGATTGCCTCGGTCACAACCGCTGTAGCACATGGAGACTTGACCCAGAAGATCGCGAGACCGGCCCAGGGAGAAATTCTGCAGCTGCAGCAGACGATCAATACCATGGTGGACCAACTGAGAACGTTTGCTGCTGAGGTGACCCGTGTGGCACGAGATGTAGGAACCGAAGGTATTCTGGGTGGACAAGCAGAAATCGAGGGAGTCAAGGGCATGTGGAATACACTGACCGTCAATGTCAACGCGATGGCCAATAATCTCACGACGCAGGTCCGAGATATCGCTATGGTGACTACGGCAGTCGCCAAAGGCGATCTTACCCAGAAGGTCAAGGCGGAGTGCAAAGGAGAGATCATGCAGCTCAAGGAGACCATCAACTCCATGGTGGACCAATTGCAGCAGTTTGCTCGCGAAGTCACCAAAATCGCCAGAGAAGTTGGCACGGAAGGGAAGCTGGGTGGTCAAGCGACCGTGCACGATGTTGAGGGTACCTGGAGAGACCTGACGGAGAACGTCAATGGTATGGCTATGAATTTGACTACGCAAGTACGAGAAATCGCCAAGGTCACTACAGCTGTTGCCAAGGGAGATTTGACGAAGAAGATCGGAGTCGAGGTACAAGGAGAGATAGCATCCCTGAAGGATACTATCAACACCATGGTGGACAGATTGGGCACTTTCGCCTTCGAAGTTAGCAAAGTCGCCAGGGAAGTCGGAACTGATGGAACTTTGGGGGGCCAAGCACAAGTCGACAACGTTGAGGGAAAATGGAAGGACCTGACCGAAAACGTGAACACGATGGCAAGCAATCTAACATCTCAGGTCCGAGGTATCTCAACGGTCACTCAAGCCATTGCCAACGGTGACATGAGCCAAAAGATTGAGGTCGAGGCCGCTGGAGAGATCCTCGTCCTCAAGGAAACCATCAACAACATGGTTGACCGGCTGAGCATTTTCTCGAATGAAGTTCAGCGTGTAGCGAAGGATGTCGGTGTTGACGGGAAGATGGGCGGTCAAGCCGATGTTGCTGGGATTGGCGGAAGATGGAAAGAAATTACAACTGGTAAGATGGAAGCTCCTCGGACTTCGGCTGATTACCTCCCTAACTCTCTTCAGACGTCAACACCATGGCTATGAACTTGACTGCCCAAGTCAGAGCTTTCGGTGACATCACCAATGCTGCGACTGATGGCGACTTTACAAAGCTGATCACTGTTGAGGCGTCTGGAGAAATGGACGAGCTGAAGAGAAAGATCAACCAGATGGTCTTCAACTTGAGGGACTCCATTCAAAGGAACACGGCCGCAAGAGAGGCAGCCGAGTTTGCCAACCGGACGAAGTCAGAGTTCCTTGCAAATATGTCTCACGAAATCCGAACACCTATGGTAAGCAAAGCCCTCTATTCCAGTAAATCCTCGCAGCGAATTTGGCGGCTTCGAGGCAGAAAGCAAGCTGACTAGCTGTTATAGAATGGTATTATTGGAATGACCCAACTCACTCTAGATACGGATCTCACCCAATACCAGCGCGAGATGTTGAACATCGTCCATAATCTGGCAAACAGTCTGCTGACGATCATCGACGATATTCTGGATCTGTCCAAGATCGAGGCCAACCGAATGGTGATGGAAGAAATTCCTTATACGCTTCGAGGCATTGTCTTCAACGCTTTGAAGACGTTGGCTGTCAAGGCCAACGAGAAGTTCCTCGATCTCACATACCGTGTGGATAGCTCGGTCCCGGATCACGTTGTGGGAGATTCTTTCCGTCTGCGCCAAGTCATCCTGAACTTGGTCGGAAATGCCATCAAGTTCACAGAGCACGGCGAGGTGTCCCTGACCATCCGAAAGGCCGAGCAAGATCAGTGTGCTCCCAACGAGTATGCGATCGAGTTCTCCGTCTCCGATACTGGGATCGGTATCCAGGCAGATAAGCTAGATCTCATTTTCGATACCTTCCAGCAAGCAGATGGATCCATGACCAGAAAGTTCGGTGGGACCGGTCTTGGGCTGTCCATTTCCAAGAGACTAGTGAACCTCATGAGAGGAGACGTATGGGTGAAGAGTCAGTACGGCAAGGGTAGTACGTTCTACTTCACTTGCACAGTCCGTCTTGCAACTTCAGATATCAGCTTCATTGAGAAGCAACTGAAGCCATACCAAGCTCACAATGTCCTCTTTATCGACAAGGGACAAACCGGCCACGGTCGAGAAATCATCACGATGCTTAGGCAAATTGGTCTCATGCCCGTGGTCGTCAAGTCCGAGTCGAATATCAACCTCTCTGGAGGTGGCTCCAAGGTCGCTTCTGCATTCGACGTCATCATCGTGGACTCGATCGAAACTGCCAGACGACTCAGGTCCATTGACGAGTTCAAGTATATCCCGATTGTGCTCTTGGCACCCGTGGTCCACGTCAGTCTCAAGTCGGCCTTGGACCTTGGTATCACATCATACATGACCACTCCCTGCCTGACGATCGATCTTGGAAACGGCATGATTCCGGCACTGGAAAACAGGGCTGCGCCATCATTGGCCGACAACACCAAGTCATTCGAGATTCTTTTGGCTGAAGATAACATCGTCAATCAACGTTTGGCTGTCAAGATCTTGGAGAAGTATCACCACGTTGTGACTGTCGTTGGAAATGGTCAGGAAGCCCTCGACGCTATCAAGGAGAAGAGATACGATGTCATCCTGATGGATGTGCAGATGCCCATCATGGTAGGTTCTTCCGAGTGCCGTGATATTGGCCTTGCTAACTGTTCGAATAGGGCGGGTTCGAGGCCACCGCCAAGATTCGCGAGTATGAGAGGAGTCTCGGTACTCAGAGAACGCCAATCATTGCACTGACTGCCCACGCTATGCTGGGCGACCGAGAGAAGTGCATCCAAGCACAGATGGACGAGTACCTGTCAAAACCTCTGAAGCAGAATCATCTAATCCAGACGATTCTGAAGTGCGCAACCTTAGGAGGCGCACTGTTAGAAAAGGGGCGAGACGTGCGGACATCTGCGAAGGACGAGTCTCCCAAGGCCCCGGCTGGGTCATCGAACAGTCAACTTCCGCCCGTACCAAAACCTGGCAACTCAGGCCTGCGTCCACCCCTCGAGCCCCGTGCCTATACCACTACCGGGCCTATCAACCATGGAAGCTTGGAGAGCCCTACGATCGTGACGGCAGATTCAGAAGATCCGCTGGCTAGAGTAAGTCGCTCCTGAATGCCATACTACCACAGGAGCCCATGCTAAGCTTTGCCAGCTTCTCATGCGCGCACATAGTTCCTAGAAGATACAGGCACCGTTGAAGACCTAGAGAGAGCATTTGACTAACAGAAAAAAAACTTCTTCCTTGATACCACCATTGCAGGCCTTTTACTTCACGTTTCCCTTTACTTGCAACTGCTTTCTGAAATGATGTTTTCTGAGATGATGCTTTCACTGGCGATGGCGTTACAGGCACGGAGTTAGAGGGGACATTGCATGACACTGCGCCGTCTTGTCAGCCGGCATGGGATGGATGCAGGTACACCCTGAAGCTGAGGAGCACGTATAGCGCGGCGTCTGATTTGTGTGCATTTTTTTACGGTGTGACTTGTCTCGCTGCTCCCGGTTCGTCGTCTCTTCGAAATAGGGACCGCTGACCTTGGCTTGGGGGCGGAAACATGGGAGTGAATTGAAAGCCTGGGATTCGATTGCCATTTCTTCTTCTCTCGTTGCTAGGTGTTGTGCATGGGGCGGGTCGACTGGGAGAAGATAGATTCTTGGGAATGGAAGGCGTGGAGGAGATATATGTAGAGGGGATCGGTAGAGCAGATGAGATGATTAGGTGATGGGGGATTTTGACCTGGGATGGAATGGCAATCCGAATGCTTATGACCGCGCTGCCCTCCCCTTTGCTCCTTTGCTCCTTTGCTCCTTTTGAACCTGAATTGACTGTACGGGTCTCTGCGATTGCTCTTCGCTCTCGTTACCCTTCGATGATTTGAGAGGTGTCTTCGTAGGAGGGGGGGGGCTCATACGGAAGTGTGTGTGAATGAAGTACCTACCCTACCTACCTACCTACCTACCTACTGGTCTCTTCTGCTCCCGCGCAGCAATACCCTTTGTGTGTATGTATATTATATTATATATATATATATATATATATATTGAACGGGAGAGGACGGATAGCGGGCGGGGTGAATACGATAGGTAAGGTAGGTAAGGTACGTACCACAGAGTGGAGAGGCGTCGAGAGGCGAAGAGTTTGCTACCCTCTCTGTTTTGTCTATGTGTGTGTGTGTGTGTGTGTGTGTGTGTGTGTATGTGTGTGTGTGTAAGTATATGTATTATCGGGCTTTATCTACGGAAGACTTTGTCTTTCTTTGCTGTTTGTTGGTTTGTTTGTTTGGGTGTGTGTTTGGGTGTGTGTCTGTTTGTGTGTTTGTGTGTTCGGTGGGTGGTCAGTCTATAGTGGAGCGGGGGGGGGGGGGGAGCGAAGGAGTGGCTAGATTTCATGTCCTCTTTCAAAACGTCTGGGTTAGTTTGGTTTGGTTAGGGTTTGGTATAGGTTTGGTTGGATTTGGTTGAGTTGGGTATGTGTTTGGTTGGGTTGAGTTGGGTATAGGTTTGGTTGGGTTGGGTTTGGTTGAGTTTGGTTTGGGGGTTAAACCATATATATATATTTTTTTCTCTTACAGAGCCTCGGGTGTTGGTTCCCTTTCTTGCTTTCTTTCTTTCTCTCATACTCTCTCTCATATTCCTCACCTTGCAGCCATCACCCCCTTTTCTATGGCTTCTTCTCTTTTTTTTCTTCTTTTCTTTAATCAATCAATCAGACCCGAGTCCTGAGTCTTGAGTGCCGAGTCCCGCATCGTGTACTATGCGATTCATTTGGTTGTACAGAATAGAAGATAGAATAGAACACACCTCACACCCCCCACGCCTTCAGCTGGGCGGCCTTTTTCGGGATAACTAAAAAACCAAACGGAAGTGAACGGAACTGGACTGAACCGAACTAGGTTCATGTACGGAATATGTGTAAGTGATTAATTAACTGATTGCTCACTTTTTTTTAGGGGGAGTTCCTCCACCTCTTGCTACTCTCTTGATGGCTTCCTGTCTTGCCTTGCCATGTTCCTTCTTGCCCTTTGGTTGAAATGTGGAAAGTAATCTGCAAGGGAGGGAGGGAGGGGGAGAGGGGGAAGGGGGGAGTTTAGGAGGTTTGTCCGGCGTGGAATGGATTGGAATTGGTGAGGGGTTGGGATTTCTTGAAAAAGAAAAGAGAAGAAAAGGCTGGGGATAAAAAATGGATGGGGGTTGGGTTGGGGTTGGGGTTGGGGTGGAAAGGTGAGGTGAGGTGAGGTGAGGTGAGGTGAGGTGAGCTGTCAGAATTTAAAATACACTCACTCTCTGTGGTACGGAGCGGTGCTTGTGATGGGTACCCTGGGATTTACCTACCTACCTAGGGATAACATGAGTACGAGAGATAAAATGCCTCGGGAGGGACGTAATAGCACGCAAGCGAGGCTCTGAGCAGTGGTGGATGGTCGGTATGGCCTTGTCGATATTTGTTTACTTACCGGTACATGTGTATTTGTCGAAAAAGGCTGGATGGCAGATTCTGGGATCGAGCAGCCAGCCAGCCAGCCAGCCAGCCAGCCAGCCAGCCAGCCAGCCAGCCAGCCAAGCGGGCCTCGTTTCGATGCGACGACTTGACTCGTGCAACGCAATCTGAGTCAGCCAGCAGCACAAACACCGCGAGCAGCGAGCAGTCAGCAGCCAGCAACCAGCAGCCAGCAGCCTTTCGAATGATTCATGGCCAATGGTAACAAATGGAAACCGGATTGGGTGGTGCTAGGCCGTTGAGTAGGTACTAGAAGAGGTATTACGTGCAGCTCGGAGCCAGTACCAGTCGTAGCCATGGCACGAAAGGGTGGGGGGAAGGGGGGGGGAGGGACGTTCCTTGGAAAAGAACGTACCTGAGACTATTATTCTGATGATGTTGATGATGATACAGTAGGAATGGGGGGGTTTTTTTCTTCTTTCGTTGAATTCCCCGGTGGAAGTTTCCAACTAGAAGTGGGTTAGCTAGCTATGATGGTTGTACATAGGGTTATGAGCGAGCTACTTACTACTTACGGATGGCTGGCTCCGTGGAGTGAGTGCCGTGGGCGTGCGTACGAGATTTTATACTGTACGGACTACTGTACGTACCTTACTGTACGGTATTCTTGAGCCGCTGAACTTGAGCGGGCATGCCTTTCTCGCTTGTGACCGACGGGCTCCGGCATTTGCGTGCGCTTACGGCTGCGCATGTGGTAGGTGTCGCTACGGTACTGTACGGTACTGTATAGTCTGCTGTACGAAGTAAATATCCACTGACAACTGCACTGCACCGTACCTTTGAACTGCCTTTCACCCTCTTGTGATTGGTGGCGATTGGATATAAAAGTGGTGATGTGATGGTGTTTCAATGCTCGGGCCCGGCGGACATGGATGACGTTTAGAGCCAAAGTACTACTATGTTTGTTCTGTTCATTCAGAGTTTGGTCCAAGGTGCAGGTACCAGTACGGTACGTAGGCGAGAAGGTCTATTTCTGCTCTGCTCCTTACAAGAGAGACGAAGATGAAGATGGCCGGAAAAGAGGCGGACGGCGTGTATTGATCCACGACCATGTACGCTCAAGAGAAGGATGAAGAAAGAAAGGGCTGTTTGCTTGCTCATGTAGGTACGCGATAGCCAACCGGCTCTGCTTCTCTTCTGCTTAGAGACGGCGATGCACGAAAGCAAGACACTCAAGACACTTCGGAAAGGCGGATAGATCATGCAAGGCACCAAGAATTCAATGGCAAGCTAGGACGGAAACCGGAGTATATAGGTAGTAGTACCGTACTACCTACTACAACTAATTGCTGCCCTGGGCTGCCATGATTTGGTGTCTCGTCTGCCCTATCCATCTCGGTGATGGCCAGATAAAGCCAACTCGGCCTTTATCGCCTATTTGTTTCCTTTTGAGAAACACTGAGCCTCGGCCGTACCACGTCTTTGCAGAGGTCTGAAAATAGATCTCTCGATACGCCCGTCTATATCGGTACTCTCGCCCAACCAGCAATAAGCAGAATCCCAGGTCGCAGTACGTGAAAAGGCTTGATGCCGACCCAATCTATTTAATTTTTTTTCTTATTTTCCCGTGTCCTTTGACAACTACAACTACGGATGGCCTCTTTCTTCGTTCTCCTCGCTCACTCCTCAATCGGCCTTCCTCTCCCCGTCCCTCTCCTTCCCTTCTTCTTTCTTAAGATGCAGCCGTCTGCCTGCGTCTGCATCTGCATCTGCATCTGCATCATGATCCAGATCCGAGGTACCGCAGGCGCATATAGGCTCTAGCACAGAAGCCACTAAGTAATAAAAATGCCCCTAAGGCTAAGACCTAGCTTGCGCTGGGGCCCTGGCCCAAATCTGGAGCCAAGGAGGCTGATGACCAAAAAATGACAGATGCAAGCTGTCCAGTTTCCAGGTTGACAGGAGGAGAGAAAGAAGAGTCGGGTTAATTGCGAGCCGGCTTGACCAGCGAATAGCACGTCGTGCGCGACGGACAGAGAGACAGACAGATGGACTGATACAGTAGACTGGTACAGTAGACTGATAGACTGATGGACCGAGACATACATACGTAGGTCGAGGTCGGTATTTCCTACGTACTACGGTACTACTACTACTACTACTACTACTACTACTACTACTACTACTACGACTACGACTACGACTACGACTACTACTTACTAGTCGTAAAAGAATCAAAAACTGGGGTAGAGAGCGTAATCAGAGACACCACCACTGCCTCTAGCTCTGTGGCGATTGGCGAACTCTGCACTACCACGACCACGACACGACATAGAGTTTAGGGCAGCTCCTCATCCCATTCCATCCCCTCCTTCTACCCACATTCGCTCGCGCTATTACACTTGCATTTGCCCTCGCATTTACCTTCCGCCTTTTCTTCCCTCTCCCACTCCCTCTCCCACTACAACTCCCTTCGTCTTCCACCTCCATCCATCTCACCCTCACCTCCCCCCCCCCTCCCATCATCAAACCTCGACCTTCCCCTTTATCGAATTCGTTCTGCACAGTCTGTTTGCGTCAATTGTTTCCTGTCGATATCCCCGGTCCCTCGTGTCCTTTCGTATCGCCGGTGTTTCTCGCTGTCGCGCAATTTTCCGCCCTTTTCATCGGAATCAGTCAATCAATCAATCAATCAATCACGCAATCCTAGTTTTTCCCGCCAGGTTCAAAATCCGTGAGTGACAACATCTTCCGGCTGCGAAACGCGATGGGAGGCGTGATGACCACACTATACAACCCCTCATCAGCTTGCTTTTGTTTTTGCTTTTGCCTCTGCCTCTGCCAACAGCTACGCTTGTCTATGCTGTAGCCCGCATCATCCGGAGGCTCCGTCGCATGGTGGAAAGAAACATCAACTCCGAGGCTAGGCGACAGGCGACGCAGGCGCAAACCTCGGGTTGACATCGCCGGTCTTCAATGCATGGCCTTCCCGATACGCGCTTGCTGTCACGGTTGGCCGAAAGCTCTTTGGCAGAGGCCAGCGCAACAGTGTATTCCTCAGCAGCATTTTCGCGCGATCGATGCCGTACTGCCCCGCAGAATTTTCGCTGACCTTGTTTGTGCCGCCTACAGAGTCCGACGTTAATCACCCGCGAATTTCTCCTCGCGAACTTACCCTCTTTGACGCCCTCTCGCCCTTTACCGTCGCAAGCGTTGTCATTGCATCAAAATTGACTTTTCGTCTGCGTCGCGTAACGAATATCACGGAGTCCGGTTGAATACCATCTTCGAGCTGGTTCTGCAATCCTTTTGAGGTAAGCCGATACCTGAACACCCCTATGTGGTTGGCAGACCTATACGAAGAACTCGAAGGGAGATTTGGAGGCAGATGGACATGTGCGTCACACGATGTCGATGTGGCAGTACGCAGGCTGTCAGCATGTCCCATTTGCGATTTCGGAGTCAGAGCACTGAACTATAGCGACGATGGCCCACGTCCCATTTTGCATAGCTGCATGCGTCGCTCCAACTCAGCCAGGAGGACTCCCTCCCCTTCACTCCCTCTACCCCAAGCGAAATTCTTTGTTTTGCACTCGGGTTCCGCCCGCCAAAATTCGATTTGTCGCGGCCGTAGTCTCGGCTAGCTGATGATACCCATCGGCATGTATAACGAGCGGCGCAATGCTTTCCGTAGTGGAATCGTACTGGGGAAAGTTTCCATGGGTTATTGATGCCTATTCCTAGGGATCTGAAAACCCAGCTCATCAGCCAATACGCCTTGGTAGAGGAAGTCATGCCCGGCAATTTTTATAAGCCCATTGACCACTCGCCGAGCAAGACATTTGTTTTTCGCGGATTGACTTTGCGTTGATTTTTCTATTTTTTATGCGCATTGATGGGACTTCGAACTGCAACGGAGCTTCTAACTGGACAGTCGGTTCATGGGGTCCAAAATGACAAGGGGCTTGCAGAAGTTCAAGGGTTGTACGTTGCAGCAGAAGTCCATGCTGCGTACCTATGTTTTGGCTGTGTCCAGTGAGCAATGACAGCAGAGCGCCTGCTGTGCTATCTTATGCTGCATATCGTTCGTCTGGTGGAGGAATCTCTCATGCTGTACAGGGGCTTGTCCCCTAGGCGTCCCGTGGCTCTCCGTCTTTGGCTGCACAGTAGAGGCGGCAGTGCCAGCCCAATAACTTTCCACAGGTCCCTCAGCCATTTATACGCAGAATTGTACGGACTTTTGCTGCTCCTCGACTCCTTTGCCCTCTGATTTTGAGCTTGCGTGGTCTTTGATGTCTGGGTTTCTTTAGTGTGGCGAAGAACCGCTGCTTCGACGAAATTCGTGATCTACTTTCAAGATTCAATATCGATTCAATTTTTGTTACTGCAATTCTTCACCTTCTACTCAAGCGTACAGTCACTCTGCGCACTGCTCGAACAGTTAAAGCCACTGATTTCCACCTCAAGACTTGGGACTTCCAGGGTTCTGCCACCATTACTCACTCAGCCTAGCGCCAACGAACCACCAGAGTCGCTCACTAACTAGCTTTAACAGACCACACGCATCATCTCGTCCACGCCTTCCTTCCGCCAAATCCATCTTCCTTTTTCACCACCAATACCACCTCTCCCACGTTCGACCTCAATCTCAACCGCAACTGAAACCCCTACTCCATTCGTACTCCCTTCTACACATACATACGACATTTTCACACCCACTCGCGCCTTCTCGACAGTCATTCAAAATGGCTTTCCAGTACGACCCAAATCAGCAGCAGCCCCAGTTCCAACAGGAGAACAACGGTAACGGCGGCGGTATGCAACAACAGCAAGGTCCTCCTCCTCCTCAGGGAATGGCTCCTCCTCAACAGCAAGGTATGCAACAAGGTATGCAGCAAGGCGGCCAAGAGGGTACCTCACCTGCCCCGTTCGCTCAACAAGGTGGCAACCCAGACGGCTCCAGTGGCAGTGTCAGCGGTGATGCCAAGACAACTCTCTGGTAAGTCACATGTTCTGCACAATTCAACATTCCAACATCAACTTCTCGGCCATGGAAAATTGGAAGCCTGGCTTCCAAACCGGTACGCTTTTCGTGAGATCCAGATCTCGAGTCTGCCAATACCATGTTCTTCCACCCGCAACCTTCCTAAACTGAGCGTATCCTTCCAATCACATCCGCCCATCACCCCATTATTTTACTGCGAGAGATCGGCCTTCTTCAAGAAGATTTGATCTGCACTGACGGCGGCGCGACTTCCTCGCTTCTTTTGCGAATAGAGCCTTGGGTGCCGAACGCGCTTGCTGACAAACTTGACAGGATGGGGGAGCTCGAGCCATGGATTGATGAGAACTTTGTTCGCTCCGTCTGGTTTGGTATGGGTGAGCAGGTCAACGTCAAGATGATTCGCGACAAGTTCTCTGGGTAAGTTTATCCACTTACCATTTTATCACACCACTAACTCGCTCCTTAGCAACGCCGGATACTGTTTCATCGACTTCTCTTCCCCTGCCGCCGCAGCGAAGGCTCTTTCGCTTAACGGCTCGATGATTCCCAATACGGCCCGCCCCTTTAAGCTTAACTGGGCTTCTGGTGGTGGACTCGCAGATAGACGGTCAGAATCCCGGCTCATGTTCCTCCATTCACACTCGCACCGCATACCCTGAACCATAAGCTGACTTTAACTAGCGATGATCGTGGCCCTGAGTACTCGATCTTTGTCGGTGATCTTGGCCCGGAGGTCAATGAATACGTCCTGGTGTCTCTGTTCCAGGCTCGCTTCCCATCATGCAAGTCCGCCAAGATCATGACCGACCCCATTTCTGGCATGTCTCGCGGCTACGGCTTCGTCCGTTTCGCCGACGAGGGTGATCAACAACGTGCTTTGACCGAGATGCAAGGCGTCTACTGTGGTAACCGTCCTATGAGAATCTCTACTGCCACACCTAAAAACAAGGCTGGTGGTGGTGGGCCAGCAGGTATGCCTATGCAACAAGGTGGTCCTAACATGGGTCCCGGCATGCCAGCCGCTCCTGGTATGTACAGCATGGGTGCTCCTCCCCCAATGCAATATGGCGGTGGATATGGCCAACAGCAACCAATGAACCAATTCACCGACCCCAACAACACCACTGTTTTCGTCGGTGGTCTGTCTGGCTACGTTACCGAGGATGAGCTTCGCTCCTTCTTCCAGGGCTTTGGTGAGATCACCTACGTCAAGATCCCTCCCGGAAAGGGTTGCGGTTTCGTCCAGTTCGTCCAACGCCACGCTGCCGAGATGGCCATCAATCAAATGCAGGGCTATCCCATCGGTAACTCTCGCGTCCGCCTTTCATGGGGCCGCTCGCAAAACAACTCCGGACCCGCTGGTACTCCCTACCGTCCTGCTCCCCCTCCGCCTCAATACTCGTCTATGGGAATGCCTCCAGCTCATCCATACGGTCAATTCCAACCTCTCCAGGTAGGTGGCCCTGTGTCGTGAAGAGATACGCTCTAACACTGTGACAGTAAGCGTCGCATTTGCCCCATGGGACCCGGAGTATAGCGAATGGCGTCTTTCTGCACCAAATATTTGATCTTCCAGTCAGTTTGCTTCAGCTTTACTTTTCTCTAACCATGCCTGGATGGCTATTTCTCCTCTTAGCGTCACTCCAAAAGTATCGGATGGGTGGGGATCTGCAATTCCACGATGCCCGTGTACAAAAAGTGCATTAGATGTTTCCTTTTCACGAGTCCACGAAGGATCTAACACGCGCTGCTTTTCCTTCGACACATGTATCCTCTGAACTTTTCAGTGTGCTTCATCTTTTTTCCCTGCATTCAGTTATGTTATTTGGATGGCTAGTCTGTTGACAAGGGATTCTCGGCGAGCACCACTGGCGTCTCAAGCACCCCATCACGTTTCATTTTCATTCTCTTCATCATCCTCCAAAAGTTTTAGACTCTTGTTTTCACTCATCACACATTGGGGGGCTTGCGGCTTGTGCGAGCTCAACCAGCAAATTATCCTCAGTATTACAATCTTAGTGTCTATCATTATAAGTGGCCCCTGTCAGTGCATCCTTCTCTCCCCTCTCAACCTCACGCACCATACCGTCCCTGTGGCCCTTGAGCTGCTTCCCATGGGAACCTGGTATACATCCGCCCAGTCCACCTCACCCAAGTACTGATCACCTGTTGGAACTCCAATCTTCTCTTCAGCCCAGTGGGTTGGCTCTAGGACTCTGCCCAGATCCCCAACTTGCATTTTGGCGTCTGGTATTTCGCAATCATCTTTCCTCCTTCTCCCTCAGGCGTTGTATGATATTTGTGTATATATCCTCGCAGGCAATCATGGAAGTGCAGATCCCACCCATCTGAGAACCCATTAACTATCTACATCAAACATACCATTCGGTGACAATGCTAACATGATCTACACAGACCCTCGTTCTCTTCGGTTGAGATAAAAGATGTCATACCTATCGATCTTCGTCCTTCATTCGCTATGCTTGCTGAGCAGGTGGGATAGTCAATGCGCGATGTCCATGCTGATGAGCCCACTTCAACTTCGACTCGCAACTTTCCATCGGCTGTTACCTGGTCTTCTAACAATCTTCGGCTCTGTCCCTCCGGTACTTCTCTCGATATTCTCTTCCCGCACATCCGGCGTTCTGGTCGTTCCTACTTCAACATCACAGTCATGATACGCGCATCTGATGCAATTCCTTGGCATGGTATAGCGTACTTCTCTTGCGGATACCCCCATTGCGTGGACATGAAGAGGAGGATAGGATACTCTGGCGTTTGCACTCTCCTGCTTTGTATCTCGGTTCTTCTTCCAGGCTGGCCATATAAGCGATGCGTTCTCCTGCGTTTGCGACCTGTTCTCCCTGCGGTTGGCCATATACGCGATTCCCTCCCATGCGCTACAACTCGGTCTTCTTCTCCGCCCTGGACATATTCGCGATTCCCTCTCTTCCCTATCCTCGGTTTCTACTTGGAGGAGGCTTGGCGTTATTAGACGCGTGTACACATTATTCTCCTATCACATCACTGCGAACCTGCGTTGCTTTTATCGGTGATTGCGTATGCTATGCGGTTACGACGGCTAAGACATCATGACACCTTCACGAGGATGGTTCAATTTGCGTTTGTCTTGGGGGATGGGAAATGGGCGCGTTTGAAACAACTCGGTGGCACTTACTGGTGGCATGGGGTGTTGCTGCTTTCGGTGTTCACCATGGTTTTCTACTTGCATGCTTTCCTCTTTCTTCGATAGGTCCGACGACTGCCGTCCTGAGTCTTCATGAGCGGGGTTCGTCTCCAATCCTGATTTTTCTTGCGGCTGCCCTTATGTTAGGGCTCTGGTCTGTCTCCCTTTTCAATCACTTGGCTCGACGGCTGCTTCTTTCTTTTCATAGTTGGCTTGTTACAGGTACGCGACATTCTTCCTGGCCTCTGGGTAGCCCTGGCTTAATCACACTTCTCGCTAGCCATACGTCCCCTCTCTTTCCCGTTTTCTCGTCGTTCACGATGGTGATTTGGGCTCGAGAGCTTTTAATTGTACGATCCCGGCTGGGGCTGTCGTTTCTGCACTCTGATACTTCGAAAAGGGATTTTAAGCCGCGTATTTAGCCCTCACTAGAAATCGTTGCACTCTACCAAAATATAGCTTTGCCTGTAGTTAGCGAAATGATGCGCGGACGGTGTCCCTTGCAAAATGAGACTTGGGATGTGACGTGAGGAAAATGAATGGCCTGTAGAGACCCTGTCCAGCCTCTTGGGTAGCTTGGTATCAAGAGCTACTCGGTGCACGACGAACACCAATTTGTCCGTACGTAGCTGTGGATCGCTTGAGATTCATCCATTTATCGAATCTTCAGCTCTCCAGTAAATCTTACGCTCCCACCCACGGTGTACACTCCCTTCCCACCTACGCTGGCAGAAAGAGTCACAGGAAAAATGAACACTCATGCCGCCGAATCTCACTCAGCGCGACCCAACCAGCCGAATCCAGAAGCCGGCCGTCCACCACCCCCTCCTCCAACGAACGAACGAACAAGCAAATAGATGGCAAAAGGGGGTCCTTGTAAGTAACAGTCAGTCCCAAGGCTTCCGCTAGTCTTCCGAGTGTGAGTGTGAGTGTGAGTGTGATTGTGATAGGTAGGCCAACCAACTAACTCCTGGCCATTAGACAGACAAGTGGATGTCCTTATCGTTAGAGGTCTGCACTTGGATGGTTTTGATGCTGGGTGGGTGGGGTAGTGAGTGGGTGAGGTTCGACGAGTAAGGTGAGGTGAGGTGAGTCAAGAAGTAAGTGAGTGAGTGAGTGAAGAAGTAGTTTTTAAAATGCAGTAGATAATGGTAATTAATGGCAAGTCCTTGCTTGATTGGGATTGATGCTGTGGATACCGATTACCTTGGTTGCTTCGATTTGGTACGTACATGTGCAACGTACATGCTTAGTTCACTTGCTCTCTTTCTCTCTCTCTCTCTCTATCAGGGAACGAATTGGAACGGAATGGAACGGACGTCGCTGGTCTGAAATCATGAGGTTCAACAGAACAGAACAGAACAGAACAGAACAGAACAGAATAGAGCTGAACAGACATGGTAGGGTTGTGAATGAATGAATAGCAGTCGGTATTCTATTTCTATTCTGGGGGTATTCGAAACGCCACGACTCCCGCGGGCAAGCACTCTCTCCCTCACTCGGTGTGCTATACTCTACTCTACTATACGATCTATTCACGCATCTACTTCCGGACTTTCCTGGCATGCTTCACGAGGTTCTCAATCACGCCCTCGAAGGCCTCCCTGTCGCCTATCTTCTCGTCGGTCCGCTTCTTCCAGTACTCCAGCACCTCCTTGGCCGTGCCCTGCATCTCCTCCAGCTTGGCGACGTGCGCCTTCAGCTCCTCGGCGGTGAGGCCGTCCAGGGCCTCGTCGGTGAAGCTGCACAGCTGCCTGGCGGAGATGAGATCCAGCTGCGGCGCCGGCGGTGGGCCCCGTCTCCGCTTCGAGTCCGAGCGGGAGGGCTTGCCTTGAGAGTCGACGGAGGTGCTGGATGCGTTGCCGTCGCTCTGCTTGAGGCGGGAGATGGAGCGGGAGTCGCTGGAGGTGCGCGGGGAGCCCGAGGCCGGGTTGAGGTTCATGGAGGGAAGGATGAGCTTCTTTTGTTTGGAGGCGGGCAGGATCTCGTCGAGGTCGACGGGGACGCCGAGGGAGACGAGGAAGAGCCGGCGGATCCGGGACCGGATCCAGTTGGGTGGCTGTAGTGGGGGAGGAGCTACGAGTTGGGACCAGAGGGATGCGCTTCGTGGTGTGAGGAAGATGGGATGTTCGGCTGTTACGGGTGGGAGGACGGAGGCGTCGATTGAGTCCGCGGGGAAGAGGGCGTTCATGTAGGACTCTGTTGCTGCTTGGACTTCTTCTGGGGAATCGAGGTCTGCAAAGTCGAGTACGGGCTGGGAGCGGGTCAGCGAGGGGGTCACTTGTTTGGTGTACGGCAGAGGTGTGTGTAAAAAGCTGTATAATTTGCTACTTACAAATGACGGTGTTACTGGAATAGACTGTGGTGGAGGTGGAGCTGGTGCTGCCTCCTGGAAATCATCCCCAAAATCACCAAACTCTGCATCTTCCTCTCCCTCTTCAAAATCATCGAAATCGTCTCCAAACCCACCGTCCGACCCATCCTCTGCCTCGTCATACTCAGCCGCAGCATCAGCAGCAGCAGAAGCAGGTGCCCCCTTCTTCCCAGCCGCAGATGACTTCCGCCTCGCGTGGTTTATGATTGGGGACCTAGCAGCAGGAGACGTTGGCGACCCTGAACCGGTCAATCGCTCTGAAGTGCACGCAAGCAAAATGCCCTTACCTGGATCGTCTTCCCCGACTTCCTCCACGATGTCCGGCTCTGCGTCCCCTCTCCGTAGCTCGTATGCCTTGGTTCCTGGGACTTCGCCGTGGCGAGGGCTGGAGTCTATTTTCTCGACCCTGGTCAAGGGGATCGGAAGGTCGCCAGGGGTGCTGTTGGCCCGAGATCTGATGCTGGATGAGCGACTGCGGTCACTAGATCCAGATTTCACTACGAGGTCTGGCACAGCGTCTGCGGCACGCAGGTCGTGAGCCAAAGTTCCTGGCACCTCCCCATGGCTTGGAGTCTCGGGGTCGATTTTCTCCACTATCATTAGCGGAATTGGATGCCCGCCAGTAGGGGTAAGAGGGCTAGAAGGCTTGCTGTCGGGAGCGTTGAAATCGGGACTTCTAGCGTCTGGGATAACGGCGATCTCATCCGGGGCGGCATCCTGCTCTCTCAAACGGTAGGCCTCGGTGCCAGGTTCCTCTCCGTAGCTGGCCTCGTCGTCGACTTTCTCGACGCGGGTGTGAGGAATGGGCGAAGCGGCACCGTCAGCGGTTGGAGATTCAAGTGGATCGAGACCAGACTGGGCATCAGAGAAGTGGTCTTCGGATTCTTCGGATGATTCTGCGTGCACCCAGTCAATACTTGAACGGCATACAAAATGTGGATCGTTACCTAAGTCGTGGGCCCCTGGGTCATCGATTGATTTCGCCGGTGGCTCCAGACGCTCTTCACGGTCGTCTGGCATGGCTACGTGTGTGAAAGAAATATAGAGTGAAGCCAAATAATCTGTCTGCTGAATTGCCCAAGTAAAGAGTTTTTTTATGCCAGAAGAAGCGGCCCGGACCGGTCTCCTCTATTTGCTTTGGTGTTGTTGTTGTTGTTGTTGTTGGCGACGGTCAATTCCCCTTTGACCAGCAAGTTCCTGAGCTCTCTAGCCCAGGCCACCAGGCGCCAACCACCCAGATCCCCAGCCCGCCTAAATCGCGCTAAAAATATTGTCAATAGCTTCAACGCGCTTTTCACTCATAGCAACCGAAAGCGCTCTGTCCACTCACCAACTCACCTCCCGGAATTGTCGCGGGGTTTTTTTTTTTCGCATATCGAGCTTTCAGAAGTTACACTTCAAGTTGCACCCACCCACAGTTGGTTTCTCTCGCTTTCCCCAAAGCTTTTCCGTCGCTCAAGGAACAGCAAACTGACGTGAATACCCAGGGCGCCAACCAACAATCCAAGAACGTAACTACACGATAATCGAGAATGGCGAATACTGGGAAGCCGACCTTTAGCTTTGGCGGAGCGGCTGGCGCCGGTAATGGTCAAAGTCCTTTCCCTAGTTCTGGCTCTACACCAGGTAGCTCTACACCAGGTACTGCATCTCCCTTCGGCGCATCGCAAACAGCTGCTACGTCAAAGCCAGCAGCAACAGGAGGACTATTTGGTACTACTACAGGAGGATCGATATTGGGCATGTTTGGAACCTCTACGGCTGGAGCTACGCCATCCATATTTGGCCAAACACCAGCTTCCAATCTTGGATCTGGCACACCAACACCGAGTCTTGGAGGAACCCCCACAGGAGGAGGAGGAGGCTTGTTCGGTGGCCTGGCAACAGGGGGCAGTGGAACTGCTGGTGGCATGTTTGGTGGGGGAGCGGGCGCATCCAACACCTCTTCTCTTGGAGGTCCAGGTGGTTTTCAATTTGGCCAGAATAAGGACGGTAAAGCTTCGACAACAGCAGCGACCGAGAACAAAACATCGTCCTCAGGATTGTCTTTTGGCAGCAACTTCGGCAGTAATGCTGCTAACAAGCCTGCCTCCTCGAGCTTCTTCACCAGTACTCCTCCTGCGAGCGCAACAACACCATCCAAGCCGTTATTCAATATCGCAAACTCAACTACCCCCGCCGGTCCTCCGCCAACAGATAAGCAAGCTCCGAAGTCTCTCTTTGGAGCTGGTGGTCAATCATCTTTTGGTGGTTTTGGAACATCAAAGACCAGCGATTCGACTTCTACCCCCGCATCTACAAGCTCCCTATTCCCGCCTGCAGGAGCTACGAGTGGTGCAAGTAATTCATTGAAAACGGCAGCTCCCACTACTTCTTCTGGTACAGGAACAGCTCCAACTCCCGCCCCGGCCTCTCAAGCTTCCAAGTCTCCATTCAGTTTCCCGGGAACCAACACACCGGCCAGCACACCGGGCACCCAAACCTCATCTACCAGTTCAGCTCCTGCAGGCGGCCTTTTCAACAAGACCCCGGCCAGCAGTGCTGCTCCCAGTCTCTTTGGTCCAAAGCCTACCGCAACGTCTGGAGCTTCTTCCAACTTATTCGGTGCCGCAGCCACTACCACCACAGCACCAAGCTCTTCCACTCCGTCAATGTTTACAGGTCTGAAAGGCACAGCTCCTGCAGCTACCTCATCCGCAGCTTCTGCACCAGGCACTACTGCACCAGCGATCCCAAGTCTCTTTGCTGGCACTCAACCAACATCGGTTCCCTCAACCACTGCACCAGCTACTGGGCTCGGTGCTGGCCTGAGTGGCAATGCGGGCTCTGGGGCAGGCTTGGCTGGAACGCTGAGCAGTGGAGGGTCGGCTGGTCAGGGAGCTAGCACAACAGGAGGTGCAGCTACACTTGGAGCATCGACTTCTGGACCAGCTCCCCAAGCGTCCCGTCTCAAGAACAAGACGATGGACGATATCATTACTCGCTGGGCCTCTGACTTGTCAAAGTATCAAAAGGAGTTTCAAGAGCAAGCAGAGAAGGTAGCTGCTTGGGATAGGCTGATGGTTGAGAACGGCGACAAGATCCAGAAGCTGTATCTGAAGACGTATGATGCCGAGAAGCAGAGTACAGAGATTGAGCGCCAGCTCGCCAATGTTGAAAGTCAACAAGAGGAGTTAGCCATTTGGCTCGATCGGTATGAGGGAGAGGTTGATGAGATGTTTCAGCGCCAAGTTGGACAGGGGGAGACTCTTCAGGGCCCGGATCAGGAAAGAGAGCGAACCTACAAGCTTGCTGAAAAGTTGACTGACAGACTTGACGATATGGGCAAGAACCTTTCGAGTATGATTGATGCCATTAACGACGCCTCTACCACTTTGAGCAAGACCAGCAAGGCCGATGATCCTGTAAGTCGAGGCCCACTCTCCAAGGTTGTAGATGCATGCTTACTTTTCAACAGCTATCACACATCGTTCGGGTTTTGAACAGTCATCTTACGCAGCTGCAGTGGATCGACGAGAACGCAACCGCCCTGCAAACCAAGATTGCCGAAACACAAAAGGCCAGTCAAAACATTGGATCAAATGGTGGTGGGTACAGAGGGCCTGAGAGCGATGCCGCAGAGTCTTTCTACCGCTCCTTGCGTCGGTAGATCATAAGCAGCAGCGTGTGACATTCTTTTCAGGTTGGCGTTTCGGCACTTAATGTGACATTCTGAGGAATTCAGGGTTGGGTAGGGCAGGTAGCATATGTATGGTGTTCAGCCCAGACACTGAATTTGAGACGGTAACAGCACCCTTTAGTAGAGAGGAGTTGCATACATGGGACGAAGAAACTGTACTATAGTCAGAAATTGGAGATGCTAACATTCCAATGAATCGAAGACACAAGTCATTTCTGTCTGTCCTTGATGTTTGATTTTCCCCTAGTCTTGTGCTGGGGTGCCGTAAATCAACGAATACTTGTATACAACCAAACCAACCCATCGCTCGCGCATTCCTCATCTCACCCGCCCGAGTTCAGCAGCTATTCAGGCCGAAACCACCCCAATGACAGAGCCATGCCTAGTGCTCCTCGCTGCTGCTGCCGCGTCTGCTCGATATCTCGTCACTGTAGCACATAGATATTAGTCCTCGTTCCATTGCTTTATTGCACGTGTGTTTAGGTAGACATGTATCTGTCTGTGTATAGGTATGGGCAAAGGTAAAGGTATAGGTATAGGTAAAAGCGTAAAGATGGGTATGTAAAAACGGGGGTAATGGTTGACGCCTCGCTCACATGTGCTTCTCGAGCTTCTTCAGGTGCTCATACTGCTCGGCCAGCTTCTTCTTGAGGTCCATCAGCTTCTCCTTCTCACGCAGGCGGATGGCATAGTCCTCGTTGGCCTTCTCGCGCTTGGTGAAGGCGTCGCTGTTTCGATGGACAGATGGACCATGTCAGCTTTTCTTGTCTTCAAAACTGCTGGCAGGACTTGGATAGGTAAGGAAGCGGAAATCGGACGTACCCAGCAGCAGCGCCACCTGCACGAGCAGCGCCCGTGTCGCCGCCGGCCATAGCTCGAGTGGTGGTAGAGAAGGCGGCGCGCGATGGGCGAACAGCCTTGGAAAGAGATTGTCTGTACATGGTTTTGGGATTCTGATTTGCGGAGTTGTGGAGAGGGAGAGGGTGTGTGCGAAGTAGTGAGTCTGGTACTGTGAAAGGTGGTTGGAAGAGAGGTTTAGTCTTTAGATGCCGAGCTTGCGCCGGGTTGCAGCAGCAGCAAAACAGGCCACTCTGCTTGGGTTTTGGCTGCGAATTTCGTCATGGCAAAGGTAAACAAACACGTGACGATTTGCTCTGGTTTGCTGCTGCTGCATCAGAGATGCACGCACTGATTATTGTCCCGAGGATTCCGATGAGGCTCTGCTCTTTATTGCCTATACATGAAGCCAAGTGACCATCATCTTCCACTCCAGCATCTTATTATAAACAGAGTTTTATTCAAGGGGGCGGACTGCACTGAGCGTCATTTGCGGCGAAAGCGATAATGATTGCGTAGCTAGCACTGCCACAATGTCTCTAATTGTTCTGTTCTGTTCTGCACAGGATGAACTTCGATAAGGGAGATGAAGAGAAGAGTGCGGCAACGAAAGGATATTTGGGGTATCCCTTAATTACATCCATCATGTTACAACCAGGCGATCAGAAGGGAAGCATGAACGCAGGGATCTGCCTCGTCGCCGCTGCGACAGTCTGCCCTGCTCTGTAGAGGGTCAGCGAAGTCGTGCAATAACCTAGTATCCGAGTGTAACTTGTTAACATCTGCTCTAAATACAGATTGCTTCCTAACCCTCTTTCTCTTGGAGAGAGAAGTCGGTCGAACATCCAGCCAGCTCTTGCCTCTTGCCTCTTGCCTCTCTTGCTTCCTTTACCTTCTTCCTTTCTTATCGTGGTAAATAAAGCCAGAGGAGAAATCTATAACAACAATACAGTATCAACTCTCAATCCAATCTTCTTGCGAACAGAAAGGCCGGTGATCTTAAGCTGTCGTAGGCAATCCGACATAATCCGGCTGGCCAATTTCAGGCGTGAACGAAGTGTCGATTGTTGTTGTTATTGTCAAGGCGCATCGCTTCTTTCCCTCCACTCTAAAACCACGCTAGTCGTAAAGGGCGAGCGACCAGGACTTCATTGCTTCCCGCTTCCACCTCCTCCGACTTCCATCCTCCAAACTACAACCTCACACACACGTCGCATACCCCGAATCTACACCTACGATCCCACATTCCCGGTCCCCTTAAGTACGCACAATTAAACAAACAAATACCCTTCCTTCTCAAGCCTGGTGAGTCCTTGGCCTCCTATTTGTTATCCCTTCTTTGCATCTCCCTTCCCCGCCGCGCCAGATCATCTCGTTCCAGAGTTTGGAGTCACCATTCAGCACTCAGCACTCAGCACTCAGCACTCAGCTCCCAGTACCTAACACTCCGGCGATGTGGCTCATTCAATCGATCTGTCTGCGAACATGCATCGCAGTCTCTGGACATGTTCCGAGGAGCCTTCGAGACGTCTGCGCCCACCCCTCTCCCTGATTGAGGGGTATCCTTCAATTCCCGGAATCATTTGCGTAGCATACATTGCCAACGGGCAAATGGCAAATGGCAGATGGCAAATGGCAAATGGCAAATAACCGCATTGCATCCATCCAAATCAGCCACGGAGTCTGGGCTTTCGAAGATGAGCGCGTCATTTAGCGCCTGAAGAGCCTCGATCACCCAAGTGGCCCGACCGCTCACATTCACCTCCACCTCCACATCGCACCTACCCAATTCAATCCTCTTCGATCTCTCCACGTCTCTTCTACTTGAACCTTCTAATCTGTTCACACACACCTGGCTAACTACAACCTCTACACAGACTTCGCACAACCGCAACCATGGGTTACGAAGACTCCGTCTACCTCGCCAAGCTTGCTGAGCAGGCTGAGCGTTACGAAGGTTAGCACAAATCGAATCGCAGCCGCAATTAGAATTCTACTGAAGGTCACACAGAAATGGTGGAGAACATGAAGTCCGTTGCCTCTGAGGACCAAGAACTCTCCGTCGAAGAGCGCAATCTCCTGTCCGTCGCCTACAAGAATGTCATTGGTGCTCGCCGTGCCTCGTGGAGAATCGTTACCTCGATCGAGCAAAAGGAGGAGTCCAAGGGCAACTCTACCCAAGTCACCCTCATTAAGGAGTACCGTCAAAAGATCGAGGCTGAGCTCGCCAAGATCTGTGAGGATATTCTCGAGGTTCTGGACAAGCACTTGATTCCTTCTGCTAAGAGCGGAGAGTCCAAGGTCTTCTACCACAAGATGTATGTTGATCCGCCAGGATCTGGTGACACCTCTACTGACGCTCTGATTACAGGAAGGGAGATTACCACCGATACCTCGCTGAGTTTGCCATTGGTGACAAGCGTAAGGAGTCTGCCGACAAGTCTCTTGAGGCTTACAAGAACGCCACCGAGGTTGCTCAGACCGATCTTGCCCCAACACACCCAATCCGCCTCGGTCTTGCCCTCAACTTCTCTGTCTTCTACTACGAGATCTTGAACTCCCCCGATCAAGCTTGCCACCTTGCCAAGCAAGCCTTTGATGATGCCATTGCTGGTAATTATCCCTTGTCATCTGTACATCTGTGAATCACATCACTGACAGCCGCAGAACTTGACACCCTCAGCGAAGAGAGCTACAAAGACTCCACCTTGATCATGCAACTCCTCAGAGATAACTTGGTAAGCCGATGTTGGGGATTCAATTTGGACTTCAGTTAACCATGACTTCAGACCCTTTGGACTTCATCCGAGGCCGAGCCAACCGCTACCGAGACCGCTGCCGCACCTGCCGCCGAGTCAAGTGAGGCTGCACCAACGGAGCCCAAGGCTGATGCTGAGTAGAAGAGGTATCCAGGCGTTGATGTTTGGCACAAAACGGATACACTCAATGTGGGCTGGGGGGGTATGGCACGTTTAGCAGCAACTGGAACCAAAAAGACCGGGGGAGGGCGATTACATGAACAGGGGTTTTTCAGGACTTCGATTCGCAACCTTTTTTTGCCCTTTTGCGATGGTTTTAGACTCTAATGCCAGACCTGTACTTACCCTTTCTTCCTCTTGATCTCCCCCTGCCTGTCTTCCTGGTCGTTCTGGCATCTCGATACAGTCCATGCTCTTCGTTTTTCCACGATTGATGCAGCTGCGCATATGATTATCTTTTTAGTTGGTTTGGCTGAGACTGGCTGGCTGCTTTTCTAGGAGGCTTTTTTAGTTTCGCGGGGGGAGGTACAACTAGAAACAAAAGACAACCATATCAAATACTTGATTGATATCTGTGCATCTGTGTATTCGAGCGATGCTATCAACCTGAGATTGCTGATAGATATAGAAAGGGGAGGGGACATGAGATGAGGTGGGATAGAGGTCAGTCAGTCAGTACTTTGTTTCATTTTATGCTGAATACAATTGATCCATCAGTCAAAGAGAGAGAGCATTGCTCATCATCTTGGAACAAGAAACAAGGAACCAGAGCAACCCACCCAGCCAGCCAGCCAGTCTTTGACCGCGAACTGGATTTAGAAAAGAAAATACCCCCCCCCCCGCCCTTCCTCTCTCTCTTCTCTTCCTTCCTCTCTCTCTCTCTCTCTCTCTCTCGGGACCCACACGGCGCGCCGGCGGGCCGGTCGAACCGTGCTGGCCCTCGCTGCGTCTTACTTAGGTACTTACCTACTTACTTACTTACTTACTGACTTACTGACTTACTGACTTACTTACTTACCCTTTACCGTTGGTACCGTATCGGCATGGGATCAGCAAGTAGCGCAACCCGCGACCCGCGACCCGCGACCCGAGCATGGGAGCTGATTTTCGCAGTGAGAAAAAAAAAGAAAAAAAAAGGAAAAAAAAAGAAAGGGAAGAAAATAAGAAGAAGAAGGAGAAGAAGAAGGAAGGAAAGAAAAAAAGGAAGAAAAAAAAAGAAATAATAATAATTATGATATTCTAGGTAATACTAACACAGATCAGAAAGTGATGCACCGGAGATTTCTTTTCAAAAGAGCGGACTTAACGTATTGAGCGGTAGGGTGGTGTTGATAGGAAAAAGACGGGGTCGTATAATAAAGAAGGGATCTATCTGAACGATCGATTGCGATGCTTCTTGTCGCGGTGAGAGCTGGGACGGTTGGAGAGGTTTTGGGATGGAGGAATGACTGTCGTTGAGATACCGGGTGATGCTAATGACGTAGGACCGTTGTCAAGAGAGGGCGTCTCCGATCGGCCTTCGACGCACCTTTGGGTACAGCTTTTGATTTTGGAACCAACGCGGTGCTCATTATAAAATAAGGGTTTAGATACTGACACCGGTCAAGATAGGCAGACAGGCCTTCGAAACCAGATCAGAGCAAGCCAGTTTATGATTTGGGAGATCTAGCCTTCCCAGCCCCTCGTCATCTGCACCGCCTTCTCCCACCTCGCGATCCGGCGGCCCTGATCCTCGGCGCCGATGGAAGGCGTAAAGACGGTCGTGCCCGCTGTGTTTACGTTCTTGAGCTCGTCGAAAGAGGACCACACGCCCACGGCGAAGCCAGCGGCGATGGCGGCGCCGAGGGCGGTTGTCTCGAGCATGCGTGGCCGCTTGACGGGGATGCCGATTAGGTCTGCCTGAGTCTGAAGAGACGTCAGTCCGAGCCGGAGGATCAGAGGGATGGTGGGTAATGAGACGAGAAGCGGAAGAAAGACGAAGGGGATGAGGTCTCTGGGAGCGATATCTTTGGGGCGATAGGAAGTTCTTTGCATACCTGCATGCAGAGGTCAGAGTTCGCCATGCCGCCATCCACAGCCAGCTCGGCGAGCTTTTTTCCGCTGTCCTTCTCCATGGAGTCGAGAATAGCTCGGGTCTGGAAACAGGTCGCTTCGAGGGTGGCCCGGGCTACATGACCTTTTTGCGTGTAGGCTGTGATGCCGACTATCGATCCCACTGGTCAGCTGTTTTTCAATTCTGAACTAGAAAATCAAGCCCGGGTAGAGGGAGGGAGAGGGGGGGGGGGGTGGTGAAAGAAGCAAAGAGAGCCTACAAATTGTTCCTCGCGCATCATCAATCCAGTACGGTGCAAACAGCCCGCTGAAAGCAGTCACAAACACACAGCCACCGTTATCCTCGACAGTCTCGGCCAACGTGCTGATCTCCTTGCTGGAACCGATGAAGCCAAAATTGTCCTGCAGGAACTTGATACTGGACCCAGCCACGGCAATACTGCCTTCAAGTGCGTATTGCGGCGTGCCGTCAAAGTCATAAGCCACCGTGGAGAGAAGGCCGTGCGAGGAGAACACAGGCTCGGGACCGACGTGATAGAGCAGGAAGCAGCCAGTACCGTAGGTGTTCTTTGCTCTTCCCGGCGAGAACCCTTTCTGGCCAACAAGCGCCGCCGACTGGTCACCTAGGCAGCCTGTGATGGGCACACCCGAAAGTACGCCTGTAATCAGCGTTCCGAAGGCTTCCGGGTCGGAGGACCGTACGATCTTGGGGAGATGGAGCTTGGTCATGTCGAAGCGAAAGAAATCGAGTAGGCGCTCATCATACTTCAATGTAGAGAGGTTCATGAACATGCTCCGGGAGGCATTCGTCGGATCAGTGACGAAGATGTTCTTCTTGGGGCCACCGTTGAGTCTGTAGACGACCCATGCGTCCATGGTCCCGAATGCCAGGGTGCCTCTCGCGTAGGCGTCTGCAACCTTGGGCTCGTTCTCGATCAACCATAGCAGCTTGCCTACGGATGGGTAGGTGGACAGCGGGAGACCGCAGATATCTTGCAGCTGATCTGACCCGAGTCGTAACTTGAGTTTCCGAATCAGAGCTTGCGTACGCGTGTCTGTCCACACAATGGCGTTGTAGAGAGGGTCGCCGGTCACGTTATCCCATACCACGGTTGTTTCACGCTGGTTGGTGATGCCGACCGCCTTGATCGACCTGACCGAGTGACCATTCTCCTCAAATGCCTCGACGGCGCCCTCGATGCAGGTCTCGATGGAGGTTATGATCTCTCGCGGGTCGTGCTCGTGCCATCTGTGTGCTGTGTGTCAGCGATGAAGTGTATTGTTTCGTCTCTGGTCTCTCTCTACACAAGGAATAATCAGGTATCCCTCCTTCCTTCACGATTCCTTACCCCGGCTGTGGATAGTACTGCTTGAACTCGACTTGATGCGAGGCAACGGGCTCGCCCTCACGGTTGAAGATCAAGAAGCGCGTACTGGTGGTACCTTGATCGATTGATCCGATATATGCCTCTTGGGGGGTGACAAGAAGGCAGGAGTCTGAGTCTACCATGATCATGAAGTCTTTGAAGAACAGGAGCTCCAGAGAATATGAAGTCGGAGATTGAAGATGAAGATGAAGTTGAAGATAAAGATCAAGCTGGAGAGAGCTCGGGACTTGGGAGCTACAGCCTGATGGCTCATCTTCGTTCCGACTGTAGTCGGTATGCCATATGGAAGCCTTAAGGCGACGCATGTGACCAATGACCGTGATTGCCAATATCGGATTGGATATCAAGACTGGTGGTCGATGCCATGTCCCACCATCGATCCTACCGAGAGATTCTCGAGTCCTTGACGAGAAGGAAGGCCGCAGAGTCATGGCCCCTCTTTCGGTGGTGCTTCTTGTACTTGGTGGTGTTTCACACCATGTTGATATCCGAACGCGGCCAGATCACCTCGATCTTATAACCCTGATGCCGTGCCATGTTGCCATGTCAGGGTGAGGGTGAGGATGAAAGTGACGGTTGGGCAGCCAAACGGAACCCGGTTGATCACGAGTGAGATGTTGATGATGCGAATGAGGAAAAGGAAAACGATCAGCTCTCATGGCGGGAAAGAGGAAGACATTGAGATCATGTGCTTGAAATCACGTGAAATTGAAAGGAAACGGCGTTGGATCATAGTCAAGTCACGACTTACCCCGACCCCAGATCGTCCCAAGGAACGAACAGCTTCCTCATTGGGCTTAACGTTGCCTGAATCTCGCTAAAATAGTCACAACCGAGTATTTTCTTTTTCTTTCACTTTTCTCTTCACTTCTGTTTCCTCGCCTCTCTCAACCTCGTCCAATCATCATCCCCAACCTCGTCCATCCGCCTCGAGATGTACCTGCAGACGCCAATGTCAACGATGCAGACGAATGCAGATGCCAGATGCCAGATTCCAGATCCCAGACGCTGGACGCTGGACGCTGGACGCCGGACGCCCTGATGCATCAAGTCAATCACGCTTCATCAACTGCTGCCTGACTCTCCGGGATTCCCGTCTGGCATGTCGAGAGCTCGAGGACAACTTACAAGAGAAACGTTCCCTAGCTGCTGCTGCAATTCTTGGCCCGTAACGCCAGTGGAAGGGCAGCAATGCATGACCTGATATTGCCTTCCCTTCTGGCGAAGAGGGAAATTCTTTGTCCCGCCCTGCATCTGTTACCTGTTACCTGCTACGCAATGCGCTGGCTACTCTACCGTGAGTAGGTAAGTATACAATGGGCGTTTGAAAGCCGAGCAGAGCCTTCCTCATTCTCCCTCGACTTGATGGGCTTGGTTACACGGCATGGTAAATCTATCTCCCTTCTGAGATTCTCGAGATAATCGAGTTTCACAAACGGTTATGGCTTGACGATGATGTCTTCGTCTGCTGCATGGGTCCGTTGCCGGTATCACTATATTACATCTATTACATCAGCAATCTCCAAACCTCGGTCGATTAACTGATACTGACGCTGAATGTGCTGAGATCAGATCCAGAAGCCTCTTTGGGGCCTGTCCCACGTAGAGGTTGTAAAAAAAGAGAGCCACGAGATCGAGTAGCACTTGCTGGGACGAGTGGCCTTTGATTCTAGGCCATTGGCCGATCAAATGTACATATTCTAAGCTCTGTGGCAATACAAGGTCTTTAGGCTCAATCATCCATCTGCCAATAGAGGAAGCAAATTCGGTACGAAGAAAGACTGCACTACGCTGCGCTATTCTCTCCCATATCAACCAAGTAAGTCACTTTCCCAAGAACTTGGTGAGGGACAGCAATCCTGTGATAGCGAGTCTGTGGCTTTCAAAAGGCATTGTCTTTCTTCCCCCAAACGGAATCTTGCTTCCCCAGTTGGCTTGGCCATCGATGCAGAAGATTACATCTTCACAGTAGACTTGAACAGGGACGGGGCTTTCGGATCGGTCTGGGTTTGGAGAAAGGTGGCTGTTGTTTTGTCGTGCCGCTTGTTCGTTCTCCAAACTCAGCGAAAGAGACTTCTGACTGTTTGGATCCATCTCAACTCCTGCCCGGTCACTGTGGGATGGGAGCAAGGTCTCGGATGGCATCGTCCCACAGTCACTGGTACTTTATTTGGCTGGGCGGCGTGGCGTGTTGCCGGTGATGCCTCCACGGCCGTTGAACCGAGTCAGAGTAGGTCGGTTGAACATCGTTACCTGTCAGTTCAGGTTCAAAATCAAAAGCATGATCTCCTCCTTGTCCCTCCCTACCATGCGTATCCCCCTGATGATAGCCACTTTCTTGCTTAGGTCATGATCGAATGAGAATGAGAAGTGCAGGTGCAGGTACAGGTACAGGTACAGGTACAGGTACAGCCGGCAGCCACTTTGTTCCAAGTCCCCCCAAGTGAGGGTTTGCGGGTTTGCGGGTTGCTCTTTGCGTCCGAACTGACAGCTCCTGCTCCTGCTCCTTCCTTCCCCAATGCCCAACATTCCACCACAGCTCACTGGTCACAGCCCACTGGTCTAAGCGTCATTCTTCTCTTTCTGTCTCTTAGCCCCCCCAGCGCCCCTTCCTCTTTATGTTGATTGCGGTTAGCTTAGTATTAATAACCCAGGGAGACCACTTCAACTTTGCTCTGTTTCTTTCTTCCTTTCTTCGAGACCCACGAACTCTCATCCTCAATTACATTGACGCCTCTCTCAAAATTTCAAATTCACATCTTCAACCATGGCAGACAACAAGGCCTTGCTGTCGAACCCGGCTATCTCGCACGACGAGTCTACGAAACACTTGAATGATCACACCTTCTCGCCCGCCGACTCATCGCACTCGGGCCAGAGAGGGATTCCTTGCGCCCTTACCGCCATGAGCGAGAAGGATATCCGAGAGGCGTACGGAGAACATGGTCCTGGTATCGACCACATTATCCCGCAAAAAGATGCTGTGCAGGCGCGACCGGATCTATGGTGGAGCAGGATGAGGCACATTGCCCGCGAGCCTCTGTCCGAGTTCTTTGGTGTCTTCGTTTTGGTTCTGTTTGGTGATGGGTAAGTGGTCGAGTCAGAGCTCGAGAGAATCCCGCCTAACAAATCTTCCAGGGCGGTCGCTCAAGTTGTGCTTTCGCGTGGAGCGAAAGGAGACTACCAATCAATCTGCTGGGGCTGGGGGTACGCTCTTCTTCCCCAGATACTCAGGAGTCAATGCTTACATGTATCGGTATAGTATCGGGGTCATGCTCGGCGTCTACGCATCAGGAGTAAGCTACAAGAACATTGCCAGATTCTCCGCATCAGCCCACTAACCGATGGGCTTAGAATTCAGGGGCACACATAAACCCGGCTGTCACGTTTGCCAATTGGTACGTTCCCTCTGAACACCAATGTCTGGCAGACTGAGCTAATGCCGATATCACAGCGTGTATAGGAAGTTCCCTTGGAAGAAGTTCCCCATCTACCTGTTCGCGCAGATCCTTGGTGCCTTTTGCGCGAGTGGCGTTATTTATGTATGAGCTTACTTCTTGCCCTCCCTCGCTTGTCCCTCTACTGCTCCCCCTGAGCACGAAATCGCCCCCAGACAAAGAACAAGTAGGCCAGACCAAAGCTGACAGAAATCTCTCACAGGCGAACTACAAATCCGCCATCACGGCTTATGAAGGTGGCCCAGATACCCGCACCGTTCCCGGCTTCTCCGAGAATGCTACCGCGGGCATCTTCGCTACATATCCCGCGCCATTCATGACCCGCAGCGGCATGTTTTTCTCCGAATTCATCGCTTCCGCGATCCTCATGTTCTGCATCTACTCGCTGCAGGACAACGGCAATCTGGGCGCCGGGAACCTGACACCCCTCGGCCTCTTCTTCGTCGTCTTCGGCATTGGTGCTTGCTTTGGCTGGGAGACGGGCTATGCTATCAATCTGGCCAGGGATTTCGGGCCACGGCTGATGACCTCCGCCCTGGGGTATGGACGTGGGGTGTGGAGCGCGGGCGACTACTACTTCTGGATTCCGATGGTAGCCCCATTCGTCGGTTGTTTGTTTGGAGGATGGCTGTATGACGTGTTTATATTCACTGGTAAATTCCTCTCTCTTCTCTGCACTTACTACTCTTCTGCTTATCCTACGCTCTCTCATTCTTTGTCATGAGTGCGTGGACTGACAGATGGTATAGGGGACTCTCCTATTAACACGCCATGGTGGGGATTCAAGCGCATGTTTGGGCTCAGCTCGAACAAGCAGAGCTCTCACGTCTGAATCTGTCATTGATTCTACGCGTTGAATCTGTCATCGATTCTACGCGTTGAATCTCTGAGAAAGATTCGATGATATTACGAGAAAGATGATTTGCAATGTGGCAAGGTACCGATTATAAGATCATTGTGGTTGAGATGGAGCTAGCTATAGCCTTTGTATTTGAAAAGGTATTTGTCTGAACGAGTTGAAGAAGATGAGCAATGATGGATGTACGTAGGTGGTATTCTGGGCGCGATTTCAAATTTGCCTAAATGAAGAATATTGTGTTGAATAAGTATAGCAACTAATGAATCCTTTATTTACACGGGCAAGCACTCGGTCGTTAACGTTCGTCGCACATGTCTTCCTCATGAACTACTGCACCTTCTCGCCGGCCCGTCACACCTAACGGCTACGCCTCAAGCGTGATGCCCTTTGAATCGGTAGTAACGCACAGGCCAACCAGATTCAGAGATAGTCTCTTCCCTCCTCCTTTCTTCCCCCCTCACAACATTGAATTATGCATAAACATAGCGGCTCCCGCCCTCCGCATAAGATTTCCTTTATCTTTTTTTTTATCCTTTTTTTTTCTTTTTTTTTCTTTTTTTTTTTTAAAAAAAAGGATAAAAAAAAGATAACAGAAACCTACAAAAAGCCAAAAGATTTACCGCTCCCATCATCCTATCCTCGTGCCTTCCTCGCTCCCGTCTCGTCTCCTCCCGTCTCTCTCTGTCTGAATTAATCTCTTGAGTAGATCCGAGGGTGGATTCGAGGGTGGATTCGAGGCTGGAATAGCGAGATGGTTTGCATGGATAGATAGATGGATGGATGGATGAATGAATGAAGGATGAATGGATGGATGATGAATGAAGGATGGGTGGATGAATGAAGGATGAATGGGTGGATAGATGATGGATGGATGAATGAATGAAGGATGAATGGATGGATGATGAATGAAGGATGGGTCGAAGACGAGATCTACGTGGGGAAGAGAGGGGTGTGTGGAGAGAGTGTGTGGAGAGAGGTGTTTGATAGAAAAAGGGGTTGGGGGGGGGGGGGAACGGGGAAACGAGGGGGAAAGAGAGAGAGAGAAAGATGAATGAGTATGTATGTATGTATGTATGTATGTATGTATGTGTTTATGTATGTATGTGAGTAACTACTTTTTTTTTTGAGGGAGGTAGGGGGGTTGGCACTAGGTATTGGAATGGTGGAGTGGTGGGTTGAAGAGGAAGGGAGGGCGGTTTGCTAGGGTTTGCTAAGGGTGTTTTGATGGGGTGTGTGTTTGAATGTGTGTGGGTGGATGGGTGGATGGGTGGTTCTCTGGGATAGAAAAGAAATGGGGAGATGAAGGGGGAGGAGAGTGTTTATCAGCTTTGCGTGGTACCGTAGGTAGGTAGGTATCAGATGTGGATGCGTGCTTGGGAGATGAGAGAGCGGTGCTGGCAAGCTCTAGGTACCTACTTTACTTCAGGCGAGGGGCGGGACGGGACGGGACGGGACGAGCGATCGTGGCTCCGGATGTGAGGACGCGGGGGAGAGGAGGGGAAGGGGGGGGTTGGTGGCATTGGTTGTGGTTGTGGTTGTGGTTGTGGTTGTGGTTGTAATGAGGCGTTCTGTCGCTGTGTAAATATCTTAATGGCGATAGCGAGGGCGAGGGCGAGGGCGAGGGCGAGGGCGACGTCAAGACAGACGTCAAGACGTCAAGACGCCAAGAAACGGGGTGATGTACGCGAGCGAGTGATAAGCGAAATCGCGATTCGATTTGATTTGATTCGGTTTCAGCGTGCCGTCGCCCAACTCGCGGATTTTCCAAAAGTTCAGTACGGTATGAGATTGATGTGCAGAAGCAGATGATCTGCAATGCACATTGCAGTAACCAGTCTTGTAACCCTTTATTCCCGCACGACAGAAATTAAATGAGATTAAATGAATGGAGACTCGCTCGCCCTTTTTTATATTAGAATCCCCCCTCCCTCCCCTTTTCCTTTTTAACGACTAGGTGGGTGTTTGGCATTGGTGATACCGGTAGATCGTGTCGTCCTCTCGGGCTTTGCGTACGGCTGAAACCCGGACGCCCGGTGTTACTTGCTGAGCATCGTGGTATGTATGTATGTATGTATGTATGTATGTATGTATCTGTGATGCGAAAGTGAAAGGTGACGAATGGATTTCGTTGCACGTCTTTATCGTATCGGCTTGTTGAAAGAAAGCGGCTTTGGGAAGAGGGAGCGGGGTTTGGAGAATAAACGGAATTCAAAGAAATCTGAGCCTCGAGCCTCGAGTTTTTTTTTTGTATGTGAATTTGATATGTCCCGATGGATGTCTGCTGTTTATCTCGGGAGACCAATCAGCTGGGAAGAGTTTAGTGCTTGAGACCGAATACCGATCACGGGAACGCCCTTCCCTAGAGAAGCTGGAGCCTGTATATACGAGATTCGCGGCTGAGATCAGGCTGCGGCGGCTCAGCGGGGAGAAACTCTCTCATCAAGTTCATTCCGGACCGGGCGAGATCTATGGTAGAGCAGAATAGGCTGCTGGATTCTGGGAACCATGTCGACAAGACGGTGCCGTTCGACGTGCGCACGAGCCGTGCTATGGAGGCAGACGGCGCCGAGGATGGGTGCCGGGAAGGTTTGCTACGAGGGATGATGTGTTGGTGGTGGAGAAGTCGGGGGCCGAGCGAGCCACTCCTGAGTCCTGACATTGATTGATTTACCCGGGCTCGTCGAGAACGCGGATAATAATCAATCCGAGGACGGTATTAAGGCGATCAACGACCTCACAGACAGGTACGTGAGGAGTTCGCGGAGCTACGTGCTCGGGTCATTGACGAGAATCGACGATTCGCAGTCCTACTGCGTATGCGGCTACTCCCCAGGCCTGATAACAAAGTCTAAAAACTCGACAATTACTCACGGGAAGGCAAAAATAAGATCAGCGCCTCCAATAAATGGTTTGTTTCTTCATGTGCTCCGTGCAAGCTGTGCGATGCTAAGAGGCTCTATTCGGTGCAGCAGCGACGGGATCCTCGCATCTGGTGACAATCATTCAAAACCAAGCATGGTTTGTTTGACTGAAGATTAAAGTGTCTGACTGGCTTCACACGATCAGAAAATAAAAATCAGATCCTCAGCGGGGTATCGATAGCAAAGTGGAAGAGGTCGTTCGTAACCGAGGAAGCCCCACAGCGGACACACACACCTCACCCACCTGCTTCAAGGTGGCAAGAGCAAAAGCGAAAAAATCGGCACCGTAGGATTATCGGGTGGAATTGAACCGCCGAGAATTTGCTTGGACAAACTGGGAATCGAACCCAGGACCACTCCCACTCTGAACGAGGCTTGCTGCATGCTAAGGGAGTATTATACCACTAAACCATATGCCCATATCTGAATCGTTGACACCTACCCTGACACGTCGTTTAATCAAGCAACATCAAAAATTTGCATGTGGAGCTCGTGAGCGTCGCTTACAAAAATGAACAAAGGGTCTTGGCATGCAGACCTTCGTTCCTCGGGAGATGACGTATTACAGCGGCGGACTTTAATGAAAGGTTAAAGCATCTTGGTATAAGGAGTGAGAGGATTCACTTTCTTTAATATATATATACATTGTGATCAGGCGACAAGGATTTAGATTACCGAATGTGTATTGACAATCTTATTCAGAGAAAAGGAGAACCGTGAAAAAGAGTTGGATCAATCAGTCTTCCAACATTGCAGCTTTCTTTATAGACAGACTCTCGAGCATCCACTCGCTCAAAGAGTCAATTCACGGAGCGACTATGGATATAAAGAGAGAATGATGATGCTGCTGGATAACAGTGTCTTGACGATCAAGTACTGTATACCAGCAATTTCGCAAATGTTCGAGAGCCTTTTAGAGCATATCGGAAGATCTACCCCCGAGAGCATGATGAAGCTACTTCAGAAAGACGAGGTTCTTCCCGGCGGCGGCCCCTCCGCAAGCTCCGGGGCCAGGGACCAGGGACTTGCTTGCTACTTACGGTCGCGGGTATACGGAAACGTTATCTTCCGAGGCCTGTAACATCAACGCGACATCACTTTTATATGGATAGGAAATACGCCTTCAAATCATGTAAAAAGAATGTAAATACCTTTAAGCTTCACGAGGCTGAGAAAGATGATGGTTGTTATGAGGCCAACTTCAAATTTCGGAGTGAAAAGGGGCACAAACCTGCGCACAGTGCGAGGAGACATGGCGAGAAGCATGCGACGAACGGGCCGATGGTTCGGGACCTTACGATTGGGGCGGCCGACGGATTGAGGGTTCCCTTTGCGCTGACGGCGAGTCTCTCTTCGTAAGCTCCCTCCCTGTCCCTGTTCTCCCGCCTTTCAATTCCTCCAGCTGGCCATCCTCGAATCGCAAAAGCGAAGCTGTTCTCTCTGAGGATTGAGTTGACCGGAAGTCATCATCAGCGGTCTCGCGGAACTCTTCAGCGGCGCCATCACGATGGGTCTCGGTGCGTATCTCGCTGCAGTGACAGAGCGCGATCCCTTCATTTTCCGAAGAACAGCGCGACCACGACGACGTTCGTGATTTTACCGAGGACGAGAAAGCCGAGTGCTGTGAGATGCTCGGGAAGCACGGTGTCAAGCACGATACGCTGGTTCCCGTCATTGACGAGCTGGCCCTGGACACTGATAGATGGGGTTGCGGTGAGCCTTTTGCCTCCTGGCCATGGCCATGGCTATTCTCCCGGCTGTCGCCAACCTCCCCACTCAATGAGGCCTGAAACGATCGCTGGAATACTGGCGCCCACGGTTCATGATGGGCTTCGAGCTCAAGCTCGAGAAGCCCCAGCTGTCCGTGGCCTGGGTCTTGGGCGCCACCTCGGGCATCTCGTACTTCATCGGCGGCCTGATTCCCGCCATCCCGTACTTCGCCATGCACAACGTGATGCATACGCTCTTCGTCTCGATCGGCGTCACGGTCGTCACGCTGATGGTGTTTGGCTTTGCGAAAAACTACGACACGATGCAGACCAAGCGGGCGGGCCTGTACGGATCGGTGCAGACGACCATCATTGGGGTCCTGGCGGCGGACACCAGCTATGGGATTGTGAGAGCGATTGATAGCAGCGATGGGAAGGTGGGCGGCGGTGGTTGAGAGAGGGGAATCGGGCTGGGTGCGGCTGAGGGGTTCTCTCAGCTGTGTAAATGTGAATGAAGGTCTAGACAGATACCGGTAGATCGATAGCTGCAATTGAAACGCTTGTACGAAGTTACGAAGCACTTACTCATCACTTACCCAGGTAATCATGGCAGTCTGGATGGATGCTCCTCTTGGCATTGGTTTGATCTGCCCTTAATTCGTCTGATAAAGGGGATCTGCGGCGGCGACAGCGCGGGGGCCGAGATGGGGCCCGAGGGTGGTAGGTACGGTAGGTAGGTAGGTAGGTGTGTAGGTACCTACAAGTATCGTTTGATAGTACGGATACCTAGTACCGTATACGGATACCGTAGTAGCTATTGGAGTGTTGTTATTCTCGCTTGAGATGGCCTGCGTTGCGTGCCTATCCGAGAATTTATTGTGATTTCTTTCTGTCAGGAGGGGTGAAGGGGAAAAAGGGAATCATCACTGTCTCCGGGTAGGTGAGTAAATACCAAGAAGGGAAAAAGAGGAATTATCTGTCTGGTGTTGATGGATTGGTTGTATCAGTGCTACAGCATAAATCTAGAGGTACCTTATCCTGCCCCCTGAAAGCTTTGCCGACGGGGCGGGGCACTCCAAGGCCAGAGCTCCGTATGCAGTACAGACTGTACAGTGGTAAGTGCGGACTCCGGATGATCGAATATCTATGGAGAGTCCTGTCCCAGAGCCAAACCTATTGGCACTCTTGGGACGTATGGATAGTTTGACAACACTGCATCAATGGCGAATCTGTAGTTTCGGGACTGCACATTTCTGCTCAAGTCGGGTTGTTGCCGTTGACGTTGACGTTGACGCTGACGTTGACGCTGATGTTGATCTCTCTATATACCGGTACACGTACATATAAAACATATATTTACCTTGATCTCCGGTCGGCTTGCTTGCCCTGTGTGGCGTTAATCCGATGCTGAACAATTCTCCGGGATCGGCTGGCGCCATTGATACGACAGAACAAGCAAACAAGGAGCCATCTGTTCGATTGGTTTAAGGGGCGGCGGCGGAGCAAGAAAATTAATACAATCTCGAGGAAAATTAGGACCGGTGCGCCGGCGACAACAAAGTAAACCCGGCTTCAAGCGATACATAGACAGACGGACGAGAAGGGCAACGACGACTCCGGCCCATTACGTACAGTATCGTGAGTATCGTGAGTATCGTATCGTACTGCAAGTCCTTTTGACCTCATCTCGCACCCCCACAGTGCAGACATTCTGCCCCCCCAACGGCGACCTCAAAACGATCTTGGGCTTCAGCCTTCCCTACTACGATCTAAGAACCTCCCAGGACAGCCCCAATTGCTTGCAGACGACCCGCGCCGAATATATCCGCGCTCGCAGCATTCCTCCCCATGAACCACCCTCCACCTCCATTCCGATAACCAACCACCCGTCCGAGGCCCAGCAATGCCCTGGCAGCCCCTCCCACGCATCGCCTTCGCCGTCGCAACATACCCCTTCACCGCGCAGGACCCGGCCGATCTGCCCCTCGAGCTGGGCGACGAGCTCTACATCATCGAGCAGGGCGGCAGCTACGGAGACTGGTTCCGCGGGTACCTCGTTGCGCCGCCGAGTCTGCTGGCGGGCCTGACCAGCACCAAGGGCCAGACGCTCGAGGCGCGTGTCTTCTCAGGAATCTTCCCGCGGAGCTGTGTCGAGGTGAGGGAGGTGCTGGGCGAGGATGAGGAGACGGACGAGGAGGCTGATATCGAGCGGGGCATGAACGGCGCGAGTGAGGATGATGGGAGTCCTGTGGCGAGTCCGAGGAGTATGCAGATGCAGATGCCGAGGAGGTCTGTACTGGGCAATGGCAACGGCCATGCGAACGGCAGGCCAGGCAGGCCGACGAGCAAGCGGCGGACGAAACGACTTACCAACGGAGATGCGCTGTCTCTGCCAGTGACCCGCGTTCCCAACCAGCCGAAGCCGCAGGCTCCAGTCCCGATGCTGAAGATTGGCGACGAGACGCCGACTTCCACGTCCGAGCCGTTGGTGGATGAGATAGCTTCTTGTTTGCGGGAATGGCATTCTACGAACCTGCACGAGCTGGTGCTTTCCAGGCAGTATTCGTTGCTGGACAAGATGGCAGCGCTGGTGCACAGCCTAGATCTGTCAAGGCGACAGCTCCTACACAATGTGCTCACGACGCACGAACTCGGAGCTCTACGAGAGAAGACGGTGTGGGATCTGGTGAGAGGGAATAAGCTGTATAATGGGGAGGTGATAGTCAGAGATCCGGAAGCAAGGGGGAGGGTTCTCACGGGCGAAGATTCGGCGGTCGATATCACGAAATTGCAGGCAATGATGAGCTTGCTGGAGGAACCACCGCAGCCCCCGGCGAACGAGACGCCTACCTTACACCACCTGCTGATCGATGTACGGGCTTTTGTGGGCGCGAGCACGGAATCGACTACATTAGTATTCTATCTGGCTTCCAAGGCTCCGGGTCAAGCTGCTGTGGCACTGAGTGAGAGCTACCTTGTGGATGTACCGCCCAGTGGAGCCATGACTAGTCTGGCGAAGGTAGGGCAGATGCGGACTCTCTTCACGGATCTTACGGCCTCGGACATTGGAGACTCGACAGCTGTGGACAATGAGCTATATTTGGTCGTGAAAATCCAGTCAACACAGCAGGTCATTGGCGGGAAACCCGCTTCCAGTGGTAGAGCCGCTTCACACGATGGACCACCGCCCATCAAGTCCAGGAATGGCGAAAAGCCTTTGTCGAGCACTGGCAGCAAATCCGGACGCAGAAGTCTCATGTGGGGTCAGAAGTCGAAGAGAGATGCGCACCCGCCAAAGCCGCCGGCCTCCTCAAAATTAAATTCTCCCGCTGTAGGCCAGGAGAGCCGGGATGGACCACCAGGTACCGCCGATTCAAACGGACCTTCCTCGGAGCGGAAATCTGGAGCCCTCAGCCGTATCGTGAATAGAACGATGGGCGCTGGAGCTATTAGGATCAACTCGATTATGAAGCAGGATGAGGAGGTCGAGCATGCAATTCCTATCTGGGCCTCGGCTACTGCTTTTGGCGTGGATCAGGAACCCGGAGATGCTTGGGACGAGGTCATCAAGGATCTGATCTCGAGCAAATCGGGCAATTACGGCAAGTCGAAGAAAGCAGAACGGCTGCAAGTCTCTCTCAAGGCATTTCAATGCGGAGATGTGGACAGACTGATCAAGGCGGCCCCGACGCTGTTGTCGGGCGTAGCGAAGACTCCCAAAATGGCCTTCTCTGGCGCGCCTACAAAGGCAAGATCCGATATTTACATCACGATCGACGAAGCTTTCCTCCCTCGACACGCTCTCATATCTCGCGCGGTTGGCAACGCCCAGCCTCTTTCCTCCCACATCACTGGCTCGAATCTTCAGATCAGCCTGGAAGTATGTAAAGCCAGTGGCGAACGACTCGACGGCTGCATATACCCATCCTCTAACGCCGAATCCGGCCTTTCGACCTGGGAGTCTACAGCTGCCGAAAAGGGCGATACTTGGAACCAAACTCTGAGACTTGCAATTTCTCCAGCTGACGTTCCCGGCTGCCACCTCAATATCACCTTATGTGATGCACCCAATCAACCTTTCGCCATGTGTTATTTGCCGCTATGGGACCAATCTGCGTTTGTGAGAGATGGGCACCATTCGCTTCTGCTGTACCGACACGATGAGCACACAAACACGGCGAAGCGAAGAGGCGAAGGCAGAACGGGCTACTTGAACATTCCTTGGAACGCGAGGGGCAAGGACGACGTGAGCAAGGACGAAGCAGTCACCGGTCCCATCGCAACATTGAGAATCCAGACCTATCTTTGCAGTACCCGCTTCTCGCAAGACAAGGTTCTCCTCGGCCTACTCAACTGGAAGGAGCAACCGCCAGGAGACTTACAGGAGCTCCTCAAGCGTTTGACGTTTGTTCCTGAGATTGAGATCGTCAAGCTGCTTAACGAAGTCTTCGATGCCATCTTCAGCATCCTGGTCGAACACACTGGAAAGCCCGATTATGAGGATCTGGTTTTCAGCGCGTTGGTCACAGTTCTTGGTATTGTACATGATCGGAGGTTCAACATGGGCCCACTCGTCGATGAATACGCAGAGACTCGGTTTAATTACCCCTTCATCACTTCTTGTCTCGTGAGTTCGTTCACGAGGCTGCTGCAAAACCCTTCGGACCCGGATGCCTCGAGAAAACTGCGAGCTACGTTCAAGGTCGTAAGACATATTCTCAAGTTTATCAGCCACGGACGGGGCCAGCAAATGGAGAAGGAAGCTGGGATCGGGATTACAAGTACGTCGCCAGGCTTCACGAAGCATCTGCGAAGTATCTTCAAGGCTCTGGACGGACTCATGCAAAGCAACGCGCCGATCCTGGTTGGAAGCCAGACACTCGCAGTCCAGCATTTCCACACGTGGCTTCCTGAGCTTACGGGCATGCTCAGTGTCGAGGAGATCCTACATATTGCCATTGATTTTGTGGAATCGTGTTCCTTGGTCCAGGGCAAGTTGGTGCTGTACAAACTTGTGCTGATCATCAAATACTCCCAGCTTGAGGTGTTTTCCGCACCCGAGCAACGAGAAGCTCTCAGCACCAACACTGTTCGGTGGATTGCCCCACATTGGGGAGAGACGGATGAGGTGACCGATCAGTGGATTGAGCAGATCCGACTCTGCTGTGCCATTATCTCCACACAGCTCGACTACCTTGGACCCGAGATCCCGGATCACATCCAGAAAATCGTGGACTCGTACCTTTCCCTGCGAGAAACACCCAAGTCTGAGAAGGCACGCCTGTCGCTACTGTTTCCGGTTACGTACCCGTTCCCAACCAAGCCGATTGCAGGAAAAGCCAAGTTCGCCGAAGTGCTCATCGAACTGTCGGCTATTCTTGCCGCGATCTCGACTTTGCCTGCGGGTATGCAATTGGATCTTGCAGACGAGGATATGGCGACGCTTATTGAGGATATCTTGAATGTCCACCTGAGTATCCTTGACTTTGAAGCTTTCCCTTCGGACTGGCTGAGCGTGCACATACTCCATCACAAGTCGACGATGAAGACCTTGGAGTACATCTCGGGGATATTGCTCGATTCATTCTTGCCACCCCCTGATGACGCTGAGGGTTACAATACCGACCTATGGAAGATGTTTTTCACTGTACTCTTGAAGCTTGTTGGTAGTGATGCCCTTGCGCTGGAGACCTTTCCCGAGCAGAAACGTCGAGCTGTCTGGAAGATTGCAGGTGATGTTCGTGAACACGGTGCCGAATTGCTGCGAAGAAGCTGGGAAGCCATTGGGTGGGATACGAGTCTTGACGAAATGAATCAATATGGATTGGCGAAGATGGGTGGATACCAAGTTCAATACGTGCCTGCACTCGTTGGCCCAATTGTTGAGCTGTGTCTCAGTGTTCATGAGGGGCTTCGAAGAGTTGCTGTCGAAGTCCTGCAGACCATGATAGTCAGCGAATGGACGTTGAGCGAGGATCTCTCCATCGTCCAAACCGAAATGATCGATTGCCTGGACCACTTGTTCAAGTCGAAGCCCTTAACGGAAAGCATCCTCCAGAAACTGTTCATCAATGAGCTGTTCAACCTCTTCAAGCCTCTCGCACACAATGGAGAGGACCTACTGTACAATGCAGTGAAAGACCTTATTACGACCACCGATGAATTCCTGGATCTCCTCGTGGCGGTTCACAGCACGGATGTCACTGGCGCAGCGTCGCACATGATCCACCGACTGCGATTGATGGAGTTCTTGCGCGATATGCAGAAAGAGGAGATATTTATCCGATACGTCCACCAGCTCGCTCAACTTCAAGCGGATGCTGGAAATTTCACGGAGGCAGGTCTTGCCCTCCGTCTCCATGCTGACCTCTACAGTTGGGACCCGACCAAGATTGTTGGGCCGCTTGTAGATCCCGACTTTGCCTCTCAATCAGAATTCGATCGGAAGGAGCGCATCTACTTCGAGATCATCAAATACTTTGAAGAAGGGGAAGCCTGGAGCTGTGCACTGTCCGCTTACCAAGAGCTTCAAGCACAATACCAGGACAACGTTTTCGACTTTCCCAAGCTAGCACGTACCCAACGCGCTATTGCAACTATCTATGAGACATTAGCCAAGAGTGAAAGGCTGGTGCCCAAATACTTTCGCGTCACGTATCGTGGCATGGGCTTTCCAGCCAGTCTGCGGGACAAGGAATTTGTGTTTGAAGGCTCGCCGACGGAGAGAACGAATGCTTTCACGGACCGGATGCAAGAACAACATCCCTCTGCTCAAATTGTCTCTACGGGTGATGTGGATGATGTCGAGGGTCAATTCTTGCAGATCTCTGCCTTGACGCCTCATCGTGATCTCGATCATCATGTTTACCAGCGTACCCGGGTGCCCCAAGCCGTGCGAGATTACCTGCTCTCTGCTAATCCACAGGTCTTCTCTGTCACCAGCAAGAGGAACACATCTGGCCCCGTACAAGAACACTCGGTAGAGAAAATCTTGTACAGAACTGCCGATTCATTCCCAACCGTCCTTCGTCGCAGCGAGATCATCGCCACCGACCGTGTCACGTTGAACCCTCTTCAAACAGCAGTCGAGCGCATCATCCGCAAGACAACCGAGATGTCCGTGGTCGAGAAGCGAGTTATTGACGGTGAAGAAGATATGGCGCCCCTACTCATCGACGCCCTCCGGGTCTCCGTCGACCTCAGCTCAGAAACAACCGTAGCCCGCTACCGCGACCTCCTCCCTGTTGCGCCCGAAGACGCTGACGAGACTCAAGATGTGGAGTTGAGCCCAGTTGAGAACGCTCTCAAGACTGCGCTCATAGACCATGCTGTCATGATCCGTCGCTGCCTGGCTATGCTCTCCAAGTCCACCTCCATCGGACAAAGTGAGCGAGACGCCCTGGCGCAGAGTAAGCACCACTCCTACCCCCCCCCCCCCCTCCGAGTCTCATCCCCCTCGTAGCTAACGCCAGCTCAGATTTCACAGCGACGTTCGCCCCTGAACTCGCATCCTTCGCGTTCCCGCAGCAAAATAAATCTCCCACTCCAACGCCTACTAGGGCCGTAGTGAGCCCGGATCTCAGTGAAGGGGGCAACAGACCGGCATCACAGTTGATGGGCAGCCGCGAACCGAACAGCAACACAAACGGAACACTGGCCACGGTCGATAGCAGTACCCTCGACACACCCGGCGCTCAAGCTGGTACGAACAGACTGAGCTTTTTGAAAAGAAACCCATCTCCTACACCCGCTACGCCTCCTCCCGAAATTTCCCACCCGCCGCCCCCACCGATCTCGATGCTGAACGGACTTAACCAGAACTGTGTCACGAAGAAGGATTTACCGTTCATTCTACGCGACCACTCTCGAAGCAACGACTCCTCGTCTTCTCGCTCACGATCAAAATCCCAATCCCGCTCCAACAAAACCGAGAACCGCCGTTCGTTCTTCAGCAATGTCGGTAGTATTGGCCGCGGCCGTGGTCGAGGCTTCGGTTCAGACGAGAAGGAAGAAGAGGGCGAGTGGGTTACGCAGAGCGATTTGGCGAGCGCAGCTGCTTCTCTGACAAGAAGAAGTAGTAGTAGCCAGCGGCCACCAACGGGGATGAGCGGGCGGAGTCGTGAGGGCAGCAAGGGGAGCAAAGTGGGGAATGTGAGGAAACGGTTGAGTCGGCTGAAGTTGGGAAAGAAGAGCAGCAAGGCGAGTATGCTTGTGGGGAGTGTTGCGGAGGAGTGATGTTGAGTAGTACCTTCGTTCACTACGGGCCTCTGTGGCTCTCGAAGATGGCTTTCGTCGGGATTAAGAGGAATCTGGCTGGGAGACCGGGGGACCCGGGGAGGCTCTCGTGATTTTTTCTTGTAGAGATAGGAGAGGAGGGAGGTACCGTACCTACTTGGACACAAGAATCTGGATCTGGATCTGGATAGGTCGTTATATGAAACGGTTTACTTTTCTCGCCTTGTGTTTTTTTGGGGGGAGGAGGATGGAGGTTTGTGGGAGTGTGCCTTTTCTCGGGCTCTGCTTTTTACTTTTGCTTTTGCACTTTCTCGCCTCGGTTGTTGAATTCATTTTTTGTGCTCCCCCACCCCCTCCCCCTCCCGCCTTTTTTTTTTGTTTTTGGAGGTGTGTAGCGCGGAGCTGGATAGATGGGTCGCGGTGGATAGGATAGGATAGGATAGGATAGGAGGATGGGGATGGGGAGGGGGAAGGGGAGAAGGAGGTGTGTATTATATGTATGTGTATGTATATGCATATGTATGTATGTATATGTATGTATATGTATATGTGTGTGTAAATATATGAAGACGGGGGCGGGAGGTGGGGTGGTGGGTGGAAGGAGAGGAGAGGAGAAGGGGAAGGGGGTGGGGGGCAAAGGGGGAAGAGGGAGAGGAAGGATAGATAGGAAATCAAGAATGGCAATGGATAAATTGAGAGAGAGAGAGAGAGAGAGAGAGAGAGAGTAGTTTAGACGGACGGAAGCAGGCAAGGAGAGCGTGGAGAGGGAAATAAAGGGAAAGAGAAAAGTGGTTGGCTGTTGCGAATCTTTTCTTTCTTTGGAGTGAAATTGGTGATAGCGGTGATGGTGATGGGGGAAGGATGGTTGGTGGTGGCGATGATGATGATCGTGATAGTGAAAAGGATGGTGATAGTGAAAAGAGTGATGATAATAGTGATAGTGTTGTAGAAGCACACAGAAAGAGCTGTTGTATGAGAGCCTGACAAGAAGGCAGATCCTACCGGTTCCTCACAAGAGGGCACAAAGAGATGGTGGGAAAGCTCGTTGATTGCTCTATCTACAGGAGAGGTAGCTTCTTATAGAAGGTAACCCTAGCTACCTTAGTTTGGCCAGAATGGCCCTTGGCAGGAAGCGTGGCAGACCAGGTGTTTACCGTGTTCATATAAAGTCGCTAAAAAGAAGTCTTCGTCTCTTTTTTTTTAAAAAAACCCCCCCCCTTTGTATACTGTATGGACTTTGACACAAGGTGTAAGGTTTTAAACATAATAGTTCTCTATGTTTAAAGACGAGGAAGCGTATGTATTTACGCGAGATGGTCAAGTTGGTAAGCCCGCCGCCCTAATACATACCATACCGCTTTTCGCAGGCTCTGTCCACGTATTCACGTCATTGGAAATGGCATTTCGCTGTGGAAGAAAGAGCTACAGGTAGTCGATATCGTTCTTTGGACATCTAATACGGGTCGTATGTAAATATACCCTCGGTAGATAAATTTACCGGCGGCCCTGCGCGATTGTTCGAAACGATGTATAAGCTAGAACGGCGATCCGCCAAAGACCAAGCCAAACAAGAGACTTGACCAGAGGTTGATCTCAAAGCTTGAAAACTGCGATGGTATGGTTAGAGTGATCGACATTTCTTTATTGTTTTAGGAGGGATGCGATCATCGAGAATTGAGTTTCCTGAAGGAAGGTACGTATGAGTGAGTCTGAAAAATAAAAAATAAAAATCTGATGATACTATTGGAATCGACAGTAGGCTTGGAATGGACAGCCGGCGAAATAGAGCTGTTCTTATTTACGAAACAAGAATCGTACGGACACTGCCACCTAGCAGCACCATCAGACAATAAGGTAAGATGGAATGGGAGCAAAGAAGTGGTATTGTTCGAGGAAGCTTAGAGCAACGTGAGGCTACATACCTCTCCCAAGTGGTTTGTGCCACATTGTAATAGCCTTGTAGCCTAAGGCTACGACACCGTCCTTCTCTCTTTGTGTTCTTTCTCGCCTCGTAAATTGGCTTTTCAGAGAGTGGATCCACTTAGCAGCACCCTCCTTCTCTTCTTGTACTCTTAACCGCCTCGTAATTCGAATTTTGGGCGAGTGGATGCTGGAGAGTTGAGACCTCTTATAGGGAGAGAGCACTTTATTCCTTTTACGTTCGGGCCAAGATAAAGAATTAGCATACCTATGCCGGCAGATTAAGAACCTAGGCGATTTATCCGCATAATTTTCCCTCAAGTTTGCGGACAGCTTTGCCAACCAGCAATAAAAACGTCTTCATCCAGCTAATAATCATTTTGCGCGACATTCTATCTCCATCCAGCTTCTTATCGCGCGAGACATACAGATGCGATACTTGCAAGAGAACAAATGCACAATGACTACGAACACCAACATCTTACTATGCGCGTGATAGTTTATCATCTTTGCTTGTCGCTACCCGACCGCTTCGATAATGCTCTATACGCTATCGCCTCCCTTTTCCCCGCTATATCTTCTGGAGGCACCTCGCGAAAGGGAGGAACCATTATGGCAGCAAGATAATGGATGACAACTAACGTGCTAAACCGAGAGTGTATCTGGATAAAAAACTGTTCATCGTAGGCTTGGAGCCGACTCCAAGTAGAGACCACTGGTGGTTGTCATTTGGGCTTTAACCAACCCAAAATAAAAGATTCATGCTGCTGCTTCAGCCTCATACTGCTCAACACATGTGCGATCGAAGAGACACAGACAACCTCTCCCTCTCCCACCTTGCCTTCTCCTTCTTGCCCTCTCCCTCTTCCACCCTGACCTCTCCTTATATGGCTTTTTTCTTCTTGCCACCAATCACGAACCTCTTCCACCACATGACCGAATAGGAAAGGGCAAGAGAAAACCATTCACCACGCAGCCACGCTCTGACACTTCGAAAAGAACCAAGGACAAATGATTCAGTTGATAGAATCAATCAGCCTGACAACTTCAACCAGATATTCTGCGTTTAGATCCCAGTTCGATCGACTTTTGTGTGGGATACGGACCGTTTGGCTATACTATACAAAACCCAAGTGCACAAATCCACTACTCCCGGAATAGGAAAGAGCACACTCGAGAGCGGTGATGGCCTGAGGCCACTAGGCACGCTTAGGGCGCACGTGCACCCTAGGAGGCTACACAGAATTCTTCTGCTGGGAAGAATTTAGAAATACCATCCTCACCTCATATGCGTTTCCCCACCCCCATTGAAGTTGGTGCCCTACGCAGGAATCGAACTTGCAACCTCTTGACTCGCAGTCAAGTACCAATTAGTAAGAACTATACCATTAACAACACTAACGACACCAACAATGCTTTCTGGGGCCTTCTTGTATGTAACTCCTTAGCTTAGCACGTCGCCGTACCCCATGGGAGGTCCTAGGGCGGCAGGCTTCGCCTGCTACCCGCCCGACGTAAATAAATACAACAACAACAACACCAACAACATCACCACCACCCAATCTCCCAAGGAGGAATCCCCGAATTCTCAAATCGCCGCCATCAGGATTCTGCAAACAGCAGCACCAGCCACCCCTGTGGATACCAACCTACACAACCCAGAACCCACAACAGGATCACAGCCACAGACCAAATACCTAGATTCGTCAACTCATTGCCCAACCGACACTACTCCTAGAAGCTTCTCCAAGCTTCTCTTTACACTATCCTGACCAGACCGAAATCTCAAGCAACGAGGGCTCCTTCCCTCGGAAGCTTATGATTCACCTTTTCTAACAACCAACCTTAATAAATAACCAGAGAAGAAGCAAGTCAGCGCTTCTTATCTTCTTCAGAATTGAAAGATACGCCACTACCAAATACACTGTACACAGCCTAAAGCTCCCCCATCAGAAACTTACTACAAGAATTTCCCTTAAGAACATGCCCGTGGTTGGCCAGATCACTCCATTTACCCCCAGTTGACTCAATATTAGCAGGCCAAAAGCGCCTTACAGAAATACACATGGTATTTGACAGCGAAACTTCAGATTGGCAACAGTTCTATCTATAGGTAATAGTTGAATTATCAGGTGAGAGGGCTGTTCTACCCCGCCTCGCAGACAGCTTTATTAACTCGTACATCAACTCGTGCATGTTGAATGCAGAACTTGCATCTCCTTGTATCATCCTTGACGGAATGGAGAGCTGCCCAGTATGTGAGTGTGAGGGCCACCTGGGTATAGATCTTGTGTCTTGGGCCACTGAGATAATCGTCGTATTTAACCATACTGACGAGCGCTGGCAGCTGAGGAAGGCGAACGATTCACCAAAGTCACGGCGGGAATACTAGGGCTAGAGATGAAAAGCAATTACCGAAAGGTACTTTTGGCATAGCCTTTGCGATGCCATTTATCATTCACTTCTAGTCGCTATCTGTAAGTAAAGATCGCTCGCTACTTGAGGTAGTGTCAAAAGGGGGAAAAAAAAAAAAAAAAAAAAAAAAGAAAAGAAAGAAAGAAAGAAGCAAATTTAATAAATCGCTCACCAAATTCGCACTTGCTCGCTCATGTAATCACAGCAGCACGACCGCCTAAGAACTAACCCGTTACTCCTCATTGCAAAGTTCACAGCCAGCGGATCCATAGCCCTCACTCGTAAGCATCGGTCCGTACAAAAGGCAACACCAAACAGCCTCGATCCGGAATTAACACACAAAGAAACTGGCAGAAGAAGCCACGACTCACCGACGAGAATACTCGGGCTCGCATCGAGGTGAGCACCCCACTGCTCTCACGTAATCTGTGTCCATCGGCATCTGATTATATCCATCTAGAACAAAGGAAGCATTTATTCTCGAATAAATTATCAGAGAGGGAGGAGGAACGTATGCGAATGCAAACGAGAGAGAAATACAATGATGACGGGTTGAAAAATCGACAGCACGCATCGCATATAGGTAGACAGGGGGGGGGGCGCTCGCCTTGTGCCTTGCGATCGTTGTCCACCCTTCGCGGCATTGCAGGACAGGAGCAGGACACAAAGAAAAAAAAAAGAAAAAAAAAACTCTCCTTCAATGGTTCCAGGCATCCCAGGGTTTGCTGACGTTGCTCAGGGCTGCGTTGGAGGATATAAATCTCATGTCGATGCTTTCGCATCTGATTTGCCCGTTCTCCAAACTCTTTTATTCGATTGGTGATATACGGGAAGATTGAACGTCTCGGGTTACCATGAGCCGCATGAAGGTCTCTTCATCGTAATCGAGGACTGGTATCTCTTTCCGCTCCAATGCTGTCTTGTGCATCACAGCACCGGTACTGATAGCAGCATATTTAACTAGTCAGCTCTGCCTTGTTCACTCAAGGCGGAGGTTAGTAGCAGACCTGTCGATTCATGTTTCAATATCACTATCATTATCATCATTGACTTATCTATTTCACCAAAACTCTACTCCTCTATCCTCCGGGATTTGCATTCATTCCTCAGCACGCTTCAGCTCGTCAGGTACTTCACCACAGCCCCTGGGCTGGGGAACAGCACATACTTCTTCTTCTTGTACTTGTCCGGAAACTCAGCTCTCAGCGCCTTCTCCTTCTTGATAGCCCACTGGTGCATCTGCGCCCAGGCCGCTACATTAAAGATAACCGTCGCTGTGCTCTTCGTCACCAGCGCAATACCAGTCCAGGCAATAAGCTCAAACAGGTAGTTCGGGCATGTAACCAGCCCAAAGCCGTATCCCTGCGGTATGCCCCTCTCGGTTCCACCTCTGCTGCGCAGACCCGACAATGTCTGATGGCAGATGAAGTTCGAGATCTCACCATACACGTACAGGAACAGCCCAGCATAATTCAGGTAGTCGATTGTAGGAGAGGACTTCGCAGCGTATGCATTTGGTCCGTAGACCCAGTATGCGATGTTTGCGCCCGATAGCAGCCAGTAGTGTGCGGAGTTCTTGAAGATGTTGAAGAGGGGCATGGTGGAAAGCGAGAACTTGTGGACAAATAAGGTCTCGTATTCGCGCTTGAGGAAGTGGATAACGATCATTGCCATCGAAAGGTATTGAGAGCTGGAGAGAGGTGGAGCGGAGGAGTAGAGGTAGGATCGCAGGAGGAGGGGGAATGCGAGATGGATGAGGATCGGGCCTAGGTATTCGATAACGAAGACTGTTGTCCAAGACAACTGAGGGCCTACGTATTGATTAGCAGATGGAAATTCCACTGGCGGATGCACGTACCTAGGTCTTTGACCAATATCTCATTTCCTGCAATGACATCCTCGCTATTGGTAACCAGCGCCTTGCGGTCCTTCAAAAGCTTCTTCTTCTGGGCGTCGTAGATGCCCAATCGCTCTGGATCCATGCCATTGGCCTGTTTGGCAAGCTGCTCCTTAAGATCCTGGACTGTAGTCTTGTCTGTAATCTCGATGCTGGTCGGGAGCTTTTTGATAGGCTTCTTCGCAGCTGTGAATAGCTTCAATTAGCTCTTGCTTGACGCTGCCATATTTGGTTTTACATACCGCGATTGGACACTTTGAGCGTGACTGGAGCTGCCATGGCGTCGATGGGTTGCAGATGGACTGCCACTGCTAATATCGCCGCTGAAGTTTGGTGAAGGTGCTCGAGTGAGTAAGTGTTGAGAAGCTCTGGGCCGATAGCTCAGCAGCAGATTCTCCCCCACTAAAATTTTGTTGACGAATGAATGGCCCGAGCGCTACAGACACGTGACAAATCTAATTTCAACGACCTTCCCTACTTTCAAACTCCGATCACCGCTCGCTTAGGAACTATACATGTCTCAATACGTCTTGACCGATACAAGGTAGGATGAGGCAGGCGTTGAGATTCCACTGGCTAATGTTCCTCATTTATTTCTAGGTGCAACCACGGACAGAGCCTGGCCATGGGGATATCTTGCGACTGCTGTGTGCTTCAAGAACTCTTTCATTCCGTCTTCCTTTGGCTTTTTTGATGCCCTGTTCCACTAGTTTATCGTAATTTGAATTCAGGTCACGTTTGGTAATTTTTTTTATATTGATTGGAGGCAAGTAAGAACTGTAGATTTTGTGTTTGATGCTTGATGCTGGACGCCTGATTTACAAATCACTTTTCCTACCTTCCAAGCGTAAAACCCATATTAGGAAGCCCCAGGCGTGATTAAAAATATGGGGATAGCTTGTGGAATCCTTGAATCGGACAAACCAGGCTTCCAAATAACATGCTATCCCATGTATAAACATCTACATAGCCTTCCAATCATCTGAATCTGTTCATCAATTTCTATTAAACAAGACCACGCGTCTTTCGTCATCGCTACTGCTGAATATATACTCACAATCTTGGCAAAGCATTGAAAGGCTACTCATTTATCACTCTGCATAAGTTCATATCAAATATACAATACCATATCTTCTTTCGAATAGCAACGGCTCTTCTATCTACTTCCAAGACTCCTCTACACCGATCTCTGTTATTCCAGTCAATTCGATAAGGGGTGATTCACTACCCGCTCAAGTGTCCCAGTCATCCACTTTAGCTACAGCGTTTTCACTGATTGGTTCTTCAGACCAAAAAAATGAATCATATAGCAGCTTGGGAATAAGCTCCGGTAAAATCATTAGCACAATAATGTTTGTAACGCATATATAAAACCACCGCCAATATTTCCGATCTACTAAACTCGACTTTGCAGCCCCTAAGACAAGCAACCAGACAAGCAACCAAATACATTATCAAAATGCCACTAGTAACACTAATAGGATACGGAGTATACAGCCTACAACCTCAATCAGACCTTCACACCCATCTCCGACATGTATTAGCCATCCTACTCAACAACCCATCCCTTCTCGACTCCCGCCACGTTCTCGGCCTCTTCGACAGCCCCTTCAAGCTCCACTGCCAACTGAGCATCCCCAAATCGGATTTCGTCAGTTGCAACATTCACATCCCGCCAGTCTACGAAACTGAGCTTAAGGATGGCGCCAAGTTCAACCGCGCCATAATCTCCATCACCTCCAGCCACATCGTCTCGAATGCGGGGCACCAGTGGGTTGTTTCTGCCATGGCCACTCTAATGGACACTCTGGATCGACCGGTTCGCGTACGCCGGGGCGAGGGGGAGGATACGATCGCATATTGCACCACGGTGATCTGCGAGGATATGAGAGCGGTCGAGGACCGCACGGAGGAGCTTGCTGGGAAGTTTACCTGGCCTGTTGTCCTTGAGTTTTTGAAGTACGCGGCGGCTGTCAATATCAATGGCGAGGGTTGTCGGAAGGCGCAGCCATTGTCGCATATGGGTCTTGTGAACTTGGGAACTATTTTGAGACGAGTGACTTGAGTGGCCCGCTGAGGAGTAAGGGGCTTGAAGGAGATTTTGATGGATTGGAGGCGGATGCTATTATTAAGGATTCTGGGCTGATGGTGGCAGCAGTCTCTGGGACGCTCGTGGCTTTGTGGAATCAATACAAATGATGCCTGAAGACCCAATATCTGAAGCGCACTCACTTGACAACGAATGAGAAGCGAAGCTGATGAGTATTATCTATGATTTCTATAGCTGCTTAATGTAACTTATGTGGGTGCTTTTCTGCTAAATTATTAAAGAAAATGATGTTATGGTTAAGTGTTGATTCTGTCGCAGATGCCGACTGAATAAGCGAGTTTGCCTCTTTTGCCCTACTAAAACATGCAATGGTTTGGAAATATATATGCCATCCGCGAAGGATCTTGAATATGCTAGTATAGCCTATTTTTATCAGTCGGTCTTGAAATAGTTTCTCGGTTTGTTTTCTGTAAAATGTACGCATCTTGGTAGGCGATTTTTGTGAAATGCAGTAGTCATGCAGAACCGCTGAAGAATTCCTTTAGCTTACTTGGTTACAGTTTTTCTCTTTTGCTACTCCCCTCCTGTACTGCGATTGGAGGATGGGCTTTGCTGTGGTGGGACCGGCAAGCCAATCAATTCTCAACCAGGGGAGGTATTCGTATAGAGTGTAAATTCATTTAGCTATTGTATGTTACAACTATGGCTCACAGTATACGTCATAAATTGATCAAAGCCACGGATTAAGAAATTTATTGGAGGGTAGTGGGTAGTAAGTTCTGCTAGAACCTTCTGCCAAGAAGTAACCAAGTATAAATTCAGAGAAGTACACACAAACCTCTTCTTGAAACGATCCGTATATCGCTATCCTGCCAGCTCCATGGATCTGAGATATTTTTTCCAGCTCTATTCGGTCCCTTTGTGCAATGTGTTAACCAGGTAGGATATTATATGCTTTTTGTAGGACTATTCCCAAGGCCCCAGCCCCTTGTCACTCCCCTCCTCCCCTGGTTGAAAGTTCAACCATTGCCTGTGGCAAAGAACCCGCCAGAAAAATTCCTTTCATACCGGGAGCGGTGGAATGTGCTCCCTACTTCTTGTGGTGAGGCGTCTATCTCGCTAGTGCTATAAAACACAGAGCCGGCTCTTAAAATCCAAACTCCTCTTCCACGATCAGCATGGCAGGAAGACATTCAGTCCAGATCATCAGCGACTCAGATTCGGATTACTCCACCCAATTAAGACCCTATCAGATCCGACCTAGCTTTAATACCCTCGAAAGACTTGAATATGCTCTCTACAATTGGCTCAATCTCGAAACCGTCGAGAGGCCTCCCCAAACACAACTCAACAGCAGCGACCAGCTGTTCGGCGATACCATTTTCCCCTACCACTTCCGAGACATCACCTATCTCGGCGATAATCCAGCTGGGACGTCAGAGCGTATCGCCATGCGCCTTGACGGCGAGGAATTCCTTCACCTCCACTGCTTCAGCTTCACGATAAGCACCAGACACGGACGCGACGGCCACTGCTGGATCGCCGAGGCCAAAGTCGAAGCCTTACGACGCGATGGCTCTGTTATTAGAGCTTTTGTAGATGGCGAGTATGCTCTCTTGCGTGCCACCCTGGAATGCAGGCACGACGTAGGGTTCAATGCGTTGCCCATGCTGCGGGCGGTGTTCAGCTGGCAAGTCCTGGTCGTATATCTGCAGAACATCGTCGATTCCAAGGTCAAGGGGGTGGCGAACGAGAATCCTTTGGAGAGTATGGGATACCTAGGAGATGGCGTCTTCCGGAAGAAGCTCTTGTACCGGGTGAGGCCGGTAAATTGATGTCTTCGGAACAATACTCAGCTGGCAAAGAGTCAGGTGATGTGCGAGCCTCTGCAGTAATATCCGCTCGCGATAAATCTTCTGGTCATCGGTCTTATGGTTTCGAAGTCGAAAAATACTGTTCGCCGGACAATTGCGATTCCGAAGTTCGACATGGATTGCTAGCCTCAAGGGGTTTTCTCAAGCAACCGTTATACCACCTATCAGACTCAGATCATCTCAGCTCCCCACAAGAAATACTCGCGATGGAGAGATAGGTTTGTTAAAGGAATTAATTCACAGAAGAGTTTAGATAATAAGGAGTGCCACTTCTGGATGACTCGGATGTGGATTATCATGTTGTTGTTGACCCTGAATTAGCCGAGAGCATCGAAACTATGTCAACAAACCACTTTTCCTCGCCGTAATAGCGAGCACCTTCTCACTCATTTCTACACAAAAACTCGAGACACCCAAGTATTCCCCCGAAGACCTCTGACCCACCAGCACCATTTCAATCACCCACCAATCCCCGGATACCACCCATGATTCCCCCCCCTCCCCCCTCCCCCCTCCCCCCCTTTCATCCCAAATCCCTCTCCCAGGATCCCCAAATCCTGAAGCGGACTTTCCACATGCCCCTTCTCGCCAGCCTCCAGTCAGCCTCTTCGCATACCGCAAATACGCAACCACCTCCCTCCAGCCAAAAAAATTCCACGAAGAAGCACCTGATATCCGGAGAGTGGTGCCGATAGCCCGGCCCATACGACAGCCCCGCTCCCATCTCTACTACATTCTCGCGCGCACCCCCGGCGAGGACATACCGCATCGGGTACGTCGTCGGGATGGTGGCCACGAGGCCGCTCATCGTGAAGCCGGTTGCGGTGGCGATGAAGCGGTAGTAGCGGTGCGTCGCGGTGTCGCTCATTCATCTTCAAATTTAGGCCCACTTCCACATTTCATGATACTGAGAGATCGCCTACTCGGTGTTTCCCTGTCTCTGCTTGCCTTTTCCATACTTTCCAGATCATCCAGACTCTGGCCCTTCACGCTCCTCCGCTCCAAATAAGCAGCACGCCATAATCGCCAGTCCCACCATTGAAATCGCAGCCGTAAACACCTTCTGCAGCGCCCTATTGTAAATTAACAACAGATGCGTCAACTGTTACGCGGTCACCGTTCTCCTCACGGATGCCCCGAGCAGGATTGCGTTTCCGGTGAGGTCGAGCTCGAGTGCCCGGTCGAAAACCAAAGACCTCCGATCTTTGACTTCGAAGTCATGCAGAATAAGGCGTTAAATATAACGCCCCAACCGAGCCGCGAGCCAAATAGCGCTCAGATCTTAGTGTTGGGTCGGAGTATTGGCGTTTTCGGAATGTGGATTCCGGCGTTCTATCGATGCGCCGGAACTTGCTCCTAAGGATATGCTAAAAAAGAAAGGAAGAAAAGAAAAGGACGCAGAAGGACTCTGATGATCATCGCTGCCGGACTTTAATTCTCCTACTAACGTATTTTCTTGGCCAGCTTTAAAAATCCGGATATCTAAAATTCAGCATGCTGAATTACATATCAATTTTTCAAGCGAGCGAAACAAACGTCGGCAAGATAACGTGACCAAAACAAAGGGAAAAAGAAAAAAAGAAAAAAAGAAAAAAAGAAAAAAAGAAAAAAAGAAAAAAAGAAAAAAAAGGAGAGGAAAAAAATAACGCCAAAACTCAACTGGACGCCCATTTACTATGATGGGGGTCCAGTCTACAAACCTAATTGAATAGGTTATTTCGAAAGGGTGGTGTCAAACTGGGATTTCCTACGACTACGGATGTTACTGGCTCAGGGTGTTTAACCACTGAGCCACACCTACCAGTTTGACGGAAGTGAACGTAGTAGTGGGGTTTATGAAGGGGCAAGTGGGATTTCGGGCCGGGCCGAAGCGAGGTTGGGCAAGGTGGAGATGGTGGATAAGGAAGGAGTCTATATTCTGCCTCAAGGCATAGATTCAGTTCCTCAACATAAAAAGCCCATATGACATAGGCATACTGAAAGAAAGCATAAGCGGAGTTGAATCAGGCGGGAAAGTAACGAAAGACCATTTGATCTATCAGCTGAGGACTTTCCAACAGTTTTCAATCTACAGTTTCTCGTACCCGTTTCGTGGTATCATGGAAACGACACGGGCTCTTCATCTTTTGAAAAGGAATGAAATAAATTTCACAGCCTTCTACCGCCTTGTCTTTGAACACGCCACCAAAGTGTTCCGGTTAAAAATTTCCTACAGCTCCGGCAGCGGGTCAACAGTGTATACACCATCGTTATCTAAAGCGACCTCAGCGCAGAAGCTATTAGGCGCTCCGTCGTCATCAAAGACCACTATATCACTCGCCACTGCTGTTGGCACCCTCCAGCATGGCCTGTACCGCCCATGGGTATGCGTGCTCGGTCGCGGTGTATCAAGTCTTGATTCTGAATCGGAAGTGCTTGAGCTCGGATGTGAGGTTAAGGTTGAGAGTGTTGAGTAGAGGGCTATTTTCTGGGTATTTCATCAAGGTTATGTCTGTCAGGTGATTCTCTCTGGCATTTTGTGGGATGGATTGCCAACGGGCTTCGTAGGCTCGGACTCGGAAGATGTGAGGGCCGTGGGGCTGTAGATCCAGTTGTATAGGGCGAGCAGAGAAAACGAAGCGTCTATTGTTCATGCTACAGAAGTTCAATGCTGTTTGGGTCACGAAGAGCTGCGCAGCAAATATCGGTGTCGAGGAAGATTATAGGAGGACACAGCTACTAAGACGATGGGCTTGAGGAACTTGATGATTTATTTCACGTCGAGGCGTTTTTTGTCGTTGTGCTGAAAAATGGACCTCTCGAAGAAGAAGAATTTGTAAAGCCATCCCAGGTCTTGAGGAAGAAAACCACTTGACTTGTGATAAGCCGCAAGTGATGATCCACCCGCAGGCCTCGCTCCGATCAGGTCTGTCCTAGATTACCACCTTTCTTGCATCCGGGGTTCCATTTCAAGATAACATTCCACCCCAGGTCATCAAAAGACTGACCGCCACAAGACCATTCCACCTGCGGACCTTGGGACACGCAGCAGAAATGAACGATCTCCATCAAATGCTCGGCGAATTCGGCGAGACTGGTTTGGTGTACGGAAAACCAATCATTGCAGACGTAAGCTGCGGCGTCATCCTGGACAGCTATCAGTACTTCTACCACCAGAAAACGGCTGAGAGCTCGGGCGAAGACTGACGATGCACAGTGCCATGGCACATCGGCGAGGTTCCATGCTCCAGGTGTACTGGTACTCTTGAAAGAAAGTTACCATTTCATAGAGCGGCAGGTATGGAGCTCTTCCCCAGTTATGGCCTGCAACCGGGATACAGAAGTGACCAATCTGACATGGGATATTAGCTTTGGTCTGCCATATTACAGAGCGAGGTGTATTAAGCTTACAGCGTAAGCCTCAAGGCTCTCGTTACACTTGGCAACAGGTGAAACAGAGAGAAGGGGGATGGTGGCACCTCTGGCAGCCTGTTGCGCAATGATTTCATTCATAGTGCCGGTACCTTCGACGTGAATCCCGTTTATATTGCCCTTGGGGTGATTCTTGACGAGAGGGTATGGAAGATCAGCGTCCGCGGCAGAAGCTATGATCTCTGTAGCTGGGATCTCGAAGGATTCTTGGGAACCGGAAAAAGTGGCGGAGGCAACTTCATTCAAAAGAAACGTGATGGCGAGAACCATCATGGTGATGGAATGAAGTGGCTTCATAATGGCGGGATGTTCGGAATCCTTGTATTGCTGAGGCTGGTGGGTTGAAGAACGAGCTGACATCTATATGAAATCACGCTGATAGAGATAATTATTGGCTTGTAACTGAGCGTGCGTCCCTCGGGTAGCCTGTGGAAGATTTTGCTCTGTACGTGTTGACCAGGAGAGAAGTGGCATTGGCATCATCCAAATATGTATTAAAAGGTGATATGTCATAAAGAAATTTCTTGTGAAAGGTGAGGTATGATACATAAGTCCAGGCCATTCTCCCCGAAAAACAAAGGCATGATACAATCTCTTCCTAGTCCCATAGTCGCCCTCTCAAATTTCTCCAGGCTTCTCTTTGAAATTGGACCCTTCATTCAAACGCACAATACATTTCTGAATCCAATTATTAAAGAACTGTTCTCCACTGAAGTGTCCACCTTCCTGAGGATACGCGCAGGCCTGATATCGTCTATTTATTCACACTACCTATAAAGCCGTCTTCTCCCCCAAAGCATTAGGTACTCATTACTAAAACTCTTCAAGAGCATTAAGTCACACTAGATATGATCTATCCAAAGCAAACTACTCAGCCAAGCTTCAATAGTCTTCCGTCAAATACAAAGCAGCACCGCATAAATCAACAAAGTAACCAACATCCATATACCCCCCAAAGGTATCTATTCTCTTAGAACTAATTACCTGAACAACAGAGGATAAAGAACAGCAACAACACTAACCTCGGCAACAACATTCGAAAGCCGAAAGAAGTTGCAGACGGCAGAAGTAATCAAAAGGAAGCGAGCACAGTCGGATTACAATGTCCTCACCCAGACTCCCTCAGCAGCTTCCAACGCCACTACATACCAGCGAGCCACAAGAAATCCTCCATATATCCAGCATCAAACATCAAGTCGCTCACCCACCATGAAAGGAAGAAACCAAAAGCTTGCGAAAACACAACAAAACAGAAAACACGTCTCAAAAAAGCGTCTTTAAATAGCCCCCCCTCTCTCTCGATCCCGGATTCCCCGATTCACTTTTGTCGTGCGGGGTGTAGAGTTATATTACTAAGGTAGTTACTGCAATGTGCATTGCAAGTCTGCTTTCGCACAACAATTTTCCAGCCCCTCTAGGAATCAAATATCCAAGTACTAAACGTCCAACAGATCCTCTTGCCTGTCATAGCCTTAAGCCAAAAAAAAAAAAAAGAAGGCAAAATGAAAAGCACGGACTTCCAATGGCCTCCCACCTTATCATCTATTTACCTATTTACCACCTCGCTTTGCATCCGTAGTCGCACGGCACCTACCTTCAAGAGTTTTTTTCACGATACATTGCACCACCCACCACCACATTGCACCCACCCTCTCGTCCTATCTCTCTTCAGTAATCCAGTATAATCAACTCCACCGGGCAAGAAGCAGGGTATCGTACCTCTTCCACAATCAATCTACCAAACAGCAACCAATCTTGATCTTCACCGCGAGAACTACCTAAGGCCTAATGAGAACGGATACATACTCTGGAAGCAGCGATAGAATCGACAGCAACACTACCTAATCTATTCGAGCAAGAAGAAGTAATCTTATGTAGTAAGCCCTCTCATAGTCTGTTTTAGTTTAACCAGCAGGCGGAGGAATTAAGCGTCTCTGCCCCTGAAGGCCTACCTATATAGTTTTACCACTACCGGGAGCAGAAGTATCGATCAAGTTTTGGCCTGTTTACTCTCTCCTTACCCCCCCCCGTACCCCCCTTTTTTAAAAA